CGACAAGTGAAAGAACTCCTTGGGTGCGTCGGGCTATAAACCTAGCTCCATCAGTTCGTCAACAAAAAGATGGAGTAATTTATTATTTTGTTATTTACTATCTTCATTTTATAAACTAGATAATAATCCAACTGTTCAAAGAATAAATTACGACTACTACTTCTTTTTATAGAAGACGAAACTTTACCACCAAAATTATTGTCCACTTTTACTAAAATGAAAAATTTTATTTTTAGTCAAACTTAACTATATTTTACCTTAAACAACCGGATATACCTCTACATAAGTAATTGTTTAACCACTAAGATTTTATGGATAATGTTTTTTACTAAGGACAAATATGTAACTTGGTCTATAAAAAGTCAAATTGAACAATAATTTTAGGATAAAATTTTTTGAGCAAAGTGGACAATAATTATGGAACGGAGGGAGTAATAAATTTGGGCCAAAATCGGCGATGACACGCCACCTGGTGTGTGTGCGCCGTTGTAAATCAGTCCTATAATGTGATGCTTGGACCGTTCTAGAACACGGCAGCTGCTGTTTCATTTTAGTATTAAATATATAAGCTATATTCTGGAGGTGTAACCACAATTTCACACTAATTAATTAATTACAACCCCTAACTTTCCCTCTTGCCCCCCCCCCACCTAAGATCATAATCGTCCGATTGGTAATTGCGCAATTTATGGTGTGTGCAGAGTCAGGAGATGCAAAATTTACAAAAAATAATAGGAGTAATATATGTTGTTAATATCTTAATGTTATTGAGCATCTATAATGGTGGTAAATAATCAGTAAATAATCACTTATTTATATTATTCATCGTTATGAGTGTGATAATATTCTTACACTGTGACACTGTTTGGCATTAAAATATACTTAATGTATATTTATGATGATACCAAAATTACTCATTTTATTATACTTTTACCGTGTAAACTAATGAAGTAAATAGAAATATATTATTAAAACTATTTAAAATTATACTCTTAATGGTGTAAACCATTATATATGCTTTTAGTTTTACTCAAAGTCAAGAATATACTGAGAATGTTAATATCATTGAACTAATATCAAATCTAACAATTATTCACTAACTATATAAAAAAAATAAAAAAACGGCTCGCATTAAACAAGTGCAAGAGTTCCGGTAGTTTTACCGTCTATACTTTGCCTATTTTATGTGAAAAAGCTTTCATGATTTGTCACACTTTTTGCCTTTTTGAACCTCACCATTCTCGTTGAGAGATGGAAATGGGACTTATCATTTTGTAAATATTTTTATGCATAATATCAATCATTAGAATTTATTACAAGAAAATAAGGATGTAATCATGCTAAAATATGAAAAATGCGATATTTTCAAAGATTTAAAAATAGAGCCAAATTGTTAAGATTTAGTTATCAAGAATTTACCGAGCTTTAGTAACGATAAAAATAAAATTATAAAACGAATTGGTGAACAAAATACTTAACAAACAAATATTTTAACTACTCATACAAGACTTTGTACTAATTGAATCATATTTTTAAATATTATTATTTCATTCCAAAAAAATATTCTATATTGAATTCTTAGATACATATTTCAGAACTCAATGTGTATTATTTTTTTTTTCAGGACATAGAGAATATATATTTTATTACCGTACTTAAAATGAAACGGAGAAATAATTAAGAAATGTTAATTTATTTAACAGTGATGAATTAAAAAAAAAAAAATAGTACAATGGGAAGATTTCAGATTAGCGGTCACTCCATCAAAAATCCAATCCCAATCTAAAAATAATAAAGCTGCTGAAAAGTCTTCCTTCTAAAACGCAAACTCTTTCAGAGGTTTTCTTCTTCAAAACCTTCTTTCTTATCTTCCTCTGTACCCACGCCATTTCCTATTATTCTACCATTTCACTCATTCTCTCATCTTTCCATCAACCCATTTTCCAATTCTTCCTCATCCAAATCTCTCTCTTCTTCAATAAAAATTTTATTTACTTTCCAAAAAAAAAAAGAAAAAAAAATTACAAAAAATTTATTAGGTTTTTGTACTGAGATTTAGCAGCGGTGGTGGTGGACGACAATGGCGTACGTGGATCACGCGTTCTCGATATCCGATGAGGACATCATGATGGAGTCTTCTTACACCGTCAACAACCGCCCTCCTATCAAGGAGATCGCCCTCGCCGTCGCCCTCTTGGTTTTCGGCACCCTCGGGATTGTTATCGGCGTCATCATGGCCGCCAATCGAATCGGCGGCGACCGAGCTCACGGTAACTCCTCTTCTTCTTTTATTATTCCTTTTCATTTTCACTTGAAGAATTTCATTTCTATTTCCGAATTGATTCCTGTAGAATAGAAACCTTTAGTGTGTAGCAGCTGAGATTCGGATTAATACCAAGGCAGCTGTATTATTATCTAGGGTTAATTAAGTACAGCAGCTCTTGCACCCAATGATTAGCTTAAATCCTGTTTTTTTTTTATTCTAATTCGGAAACTTCCTAGTTTATTAGGGATTCTTTTGGTTGTCCTGAATCAGAGTTTGGTGCTTTGAGGCCTTTTCCGAACTTTATTTCTTCTTTTAAAATATTAATTAAATTCTGTGGTTTGTGAAAAGTGCTGGAGCTGTTTGTGTGAAGAGTGTGAAAGATCTTTAGGGGCCAAATTTGTGTTAAAGACACAATCTTGTATAGGTTTGATTGAGTAATTAGGTGTTTTCGGGCAACATGCTTATTTTGCTTCTCTCTTGTAAATCCAGGACTCTTTTTCGCCGTACTTGGGGGCATGTTGTTCTTGCCGGGATTTTACTACACAAGGATTGCGTACTATGCCTACAAGGGTTACAAAGGTTTCTCTTTCGCCAACATTCCTGCGGTGTAGGCTTGTTGATGAGGTTGAGAATCAATGTACAGATAGAGCCCTTGTGTTTGCTATTGTTATCGTCTGATTTCTAGTTTTTCCTTGAGGGACAGTTTGTAAATAAGATGTTCTGTGAAACTCTTTTTTACATCTTCTTAGTATGAAATCGAGCACTTTTTTCTTACTCAAGATCTTCAGGCTTTCCGTTTTAATTATCTATGGGGAATAGTGAGGTTGGAGACTTGGAGCTGGTTGGTTACCTTGTTTTCGCCTTATTGGTGACTGCCTTGTGATGCATTCTTATGGATACTTAAGTCTATGCATATCTGGAAATTAGAACATCTTCATAAATTCGTATTTAGACAATGATTGGTATTGAAATATATCGACATTGGTGATGATGATGATTCTATATCTGCGTGGACATTCTACTGAGATACTGCAGATATAGAAGTTTAAACATTCTATGGATTAACAAGTATTGTCCACCTGTCTTGTTATTTTTATGTTATAGATATGAACTTCTGTGCTGGTGATTTTTTTTTTTTTTTAATATATCAGTATACCTGTTTTATTTATGGTTCTGCAAATATGGGTTTGAGCACTGTATGAGTCATTTGTGATGAGTATTTTACAAAATTCATGTCTTAAGATTGTTGATCAACGGAATACCTTCTTGTGCTGTAGTTTGCTCACACAAGCTATGAATTGAATGAAAACTCATCGTGAGTTTGGTATTCACGATATTTGTTCGTAATCGAGATGATGTTAAACATTGTAACCATGGATTATGCTTCATCACTTTTACTTTTAACATGCGTTTCTGAGTGATTAATCCGGTCTTTATGGGTGGATGCAAGTTGTTTTGGGATATTGTAACTTGTGGAGTGAATCTGTAAAGCAATAATCTTTTTTCTGCTGTTCACTTTCATAGCATGTCTACTTGTTAGCAACATTTTGAAGGCAGAACCCATCAGCATAAGCATTTGGGGTTGTTGAGGCAAGGTATCCGAAGTGTCTATACTCTATAGGCCAGATAAATGTTGCTTGTGGCTAAGGAATTGACTTTCCACCGACTTACTAGATAGGTTTTGTCCAGGCTAGTCAGTGATATTAATTTGATCACCTCCATTGAACAATCTAGTTAGATTGCTTTCTTTACTTTCTGAAAACAAAAGACTTTCTCAATCTCAACCAGTTGAACCATTTCATCATGTTTCCAGGAGTCATGGTGTGGTATTGGTTCTCAAGATAAACGATGACATTTGCACCTTTATTATTGCATAGTCATTTTCTCTGTAAATCCCGTGTCCCTACCTCTCCCACCTTCCGACTACTACTTTCAAGTCTCAACACACACTTCCAATTCCATATCCCCAACAGACATGAGAGTGACCAATGAACAAGATCCAATTTGCTCGAACTGGGTTTCATACCGAATGTTATTGAACATTTGATCTGAGACTAATATGCTTACCAATCAAGTACTCCAAGAATTCAGCTTAACAAACACTACCACTGATTGATATGGACATTCTTACATGATGCCACGGTAATACTAATGCCAAAAGCGTTCGAAATTGGGTTTTTATTATTACTGATTTAAACGTCAGACATTATCAAAAAAAAATAAAATAAATAAATTTAAACGCCAGAGAATGATGACCAGTAACAATAAAATAATAAAAGATGCATCAAGCTGGAAAGGAACACATTTCAAACCAGGTCATTGAACAACACTGGAGTCTTTTAGAGAACATGGAAATTTCTGGACTGTTAGGTAACGTCTTGAAAACTTGTCTTTCTCTGTGTATATAGATATTCAAGGCATTCTTAATAAGTTGTTCTTTGACCGTTTTAAAATAATATCCACTATAGTCTTGAGATGAACTAATTCGTAAATCTCTTATAAAGTACACTCATACCAAAAATAATACGCATTGAGTAAAATAGTATATATTGAGTTTTTTGGACGGAAAAAATTATAAACGGAGTAATGAATATAACTATGTTTCCGATGTTTCAAATTCAAAGTTTACGAACATAATTAGCATCGTAATGGGAGGACAAAATATGATTGTCAAGGGAGGACAAAATGGTTTAATCCGAAATTATGCATACTAGTCCCTAATAACATAAGATTACAAAAAGTACACTTAAAGACTATGACTTATGTCTGAAAATACGGTTTATCTGCACAGCTGCACTACACTTCCACTCTACTCTCCTCTCCTCTCAGTCCCCACTGCTTTTTACTATCTAGTACTACTGCTTAAAAATCTCTCTCAGCTCACACTCCTACTTTCCCAAAACCAACTTTCTTAAATCTCGTTCTTCTTCCCGAAGTACTTTCGATCCATTCGTTTCCGGCAACAAAAAGACAAAAAAGAAAGAAGAAATTAGAAATATTTAACCCAAGAAGAAAAAAGTTAAAGGTCTCTTCTTTCCTTTTTAAGTGTCATTGAAGGAAAATGCCGGTGAACCTGGAATCGACGCCGCCGCCGAGGATCGGAAAGATCGGGCCATACACTGTCTTTATCACTCCTCCATCCACTCCTACTCCTCCTGGAGTGGGTTCCGTATCCGGGTCACCCAGAAAAGTTGCAGCTCCTGTATCTCCTCCTCCTCCTCCGGTTCAATCTCCGGTCAAGCCTCCGGTTGCCGCTCCTCCTCCGGTTCAGGCTCCACCTTCCCAATTTTATAGTACCAAGTCCTCTGGCAAATCTCATTCCTCTTTTGGGTTTTTCTGGGATGCTGTAGCTAAAGTTCAAAATGGTAATGTATCCACCTCTGTCTTCTCTTATCTGCTGCTATTTTATTTTTTATTTTTTATTTTTTTGAACAAATCTTGAGCTTCAGTTTTTGTTAATTTAGGGAAAAATTTTGACTTTGTGAAATTTTGTAGCTCATGCGAATTTGGATGAGCAAGTGGCATATTGGTTTGGATTGAATCAGTCCAAGTATCAGTGGGCATTAGATGATTACTATGAAAACAAGGCCGCTGTGAGTGTTTCTTTTTATTTCCCTACTTCCCCAACCTTCTAATTTTGGATATTTTGCTAAAATCTTCTACTTTAATGAGCGTTCTTTAGTTAATAAATTTTGGTTTTGTTTATTGTTTCGTTGGTGGGGATCAAATTCAATAATTGATCTTAAATTGTTAGTTAGTTTTGAGTGAACAATTTGGAACATATGGCAAAGCTTGTACCTTATTCAATGGCTGTATGGATACATTTTGCTGACTAACCCTGTAGGTGGTTTAGTGACTTCTGTCATTATCAGTAGTGGTTGATGAAGTTCTGGATTCAAAGGCAAGAAAGCGAGAAACTTTAACTGGAGTTTTTATTAAAACAATTGATTGCAGAGTATATGGAAGTTGCTTCACGACCATTTCAAATTTGTTGGCAATCTCAATGAGAGTATTTCTTTATGAAATTTTACTTCTGGTACTTTTAGATATTGAGAGAACTCTGGTAGGGGTTGGAACCGAGCTGGCTTAAATCAACTTGGTGTATTTGTGAGTTATCACCTAACAATGTCTATAGAAGCTCAAAGGTTCTTTGGTCATTTGTGAGCTCATTGGATAATGTGCAAATTACCTGTAAAGGTGATCTTCAAAGTTCACTCTGTTAGACATTGCTTCTTGCTCAAAAAGCTAAAACTTCATCATACGACCAAAGTTAAGATTGGGTTATCTGACGCATAACTACCGTAATTGTTTCTCTATTGCGTGCAACTCTTGAAAACAGGAAGCTACTGCTAGCATTACTGGTGCAGAATGATTGTTTCAGAGTTCAATTGTGCAAAAAATGAGTGGGAGGGTTGAGAATGTTGTTGATAGTTTATCTTTAGCAAGCAGGGAAATCAAAACTTAATCAATTGGTTCATCATGTAGAAATTGTTTGTGCAAGACAATTTTCCCGTATGTTGACTTGACCTATTGTATTGGTAAATTACTTTCTAAGGTTTAGTACGTATCCTAGAGATGATAAATTGGGAGTAGGATGCTGTTTCACTGACTTTGACTGAGTTGAATGTTATTTTTGTACTCCATTTTTCTTTGAATGTCCCAAAGCCACTGATAATTTGGAGCCAAGGTCACAACGAAGCCTTGCTTTATCACAATTATCAAAAGTCCTTCAATTTGCTCTAAAATATGGTGTTCTTCTTTTTGCAAGAATAGTTTCACAAGTATAACTGCAAAAATGCGGAATTTTTGTTTGATGTGAAAAACTAGGTAGCTTACTTTTAAGAGATCATTTTTGGTTGTTTCATTTTGAAGTTAAGACTCTCAGCTTAGTTCATTTGAATCACATTTTCCTGTCTGGCAAATTCTTGGATATCTACACACAGGATCCATCAGCTGCAAAAGCAAATGCTTTATCTGGCAAGCTTCAAGATGTGTAAACAAGTTTGGTACGCAAATATTTTCCATTTCTGCTTTCTACCCATATCTGTTTCACACTGCAATTCTGCTCAATTTCGGACATGTCTATCTTGCAGAATTTCCTATGGGACTGGGTGAAATAATGGATGATACAAGCATTTGCTCAATGTACTAAAAGGATCTTTCTTCCAAGGCAATAAGAAGCAAAGATCATCTGGCCATGCTGCACTAGAGAATTTTTTTTGTCCTTAGATCAAGCATTACCTAATTATCAAATCTGTAACTCTATATATGTCATTGTATTTTGTCTTTGGTCCGTTTTGTTAATAGTTTCAGCTACCCGTCAAGGATGAGAAGTACTCCCTTAGCAATAGCGCCTAATTCAGTTTAACGGTTTTGTTTTTTGTTTGTATCTGTACTGGTACTTCCAGGCCGACTTGTTTCTTCTTGAAAAGTGGGAAGTTATAAATGCATGTTGCCTGGCTCAACCTATCTATGATGACTCTAAATATAGCTGTGGACATTATAATCGTTTTAAAGCTTTCGACTTCGATTCTGCAGATGAACACATAACTGTTGAGAGATATTTTCTCCCCGAAAGGGGTCTATTTGGATAGAGTGGCTGAGTGGGGGATTGTCCAAGTGCCATTGCATTACTCTGGCAACTAACTCTCGAAACTGTCAAATGTCAATGAATCATATACAGTTTTTAGTACAATAAGATTAGATACCTTGGTAGCTAAATATTACACGTTTGTCTCAAAATGATTGTTTTATCGGACATTACAATTTTGTTGAGACGAATAGAACATGTAGTCAAGACTCATTGTTAATGAAGTGATGAAGGATAATCTTAACTCAAAAATGATTGTTTTATCGGACATTACAATTATGTTGAGACGAATAGAATATGTGGTTAAGACTCATTGTTAATGAACTGAATGAAGGATAATCTTAACTCAAAAAGGTGAAGGAATGTGATTCTCATTACAGGACATGGAAAAGTGAAAACCTTGAAAAAGTATCTTTGTGTTTGCTTATTGTGTGTGTGTGTGTTTTTCTTTTATTTTTTCTTCCCCAAGCCATACCATATTTTAGTCTGTTCTTTCCTTCCCCTTGAGAACTAAATAGCCAGCAATAGAACACCTGTGCAGGGTACCATCCTACCACGGCAATAAAATAAATGTCATTTAAGAAGCAAAGGTATTTTTACGTGTGAAGATGGCATCGTACAAAGTCATGCCCACACGAACGTAAACATTTACACCAAGACGGAAATAGTACTACTCTCTCCGGTTTTACTCATAAGAATTTGCAATTATAAACTAAAATATTGATTTTAAATCGCGTTTTATGGGTATATACGTACTCAAAATGGTATATCCTCTGTCTGAAAATAATTGTTTAGTTTAAATTTTTATTTTTAATTTAATTATAAATTTAAACTGTATAATTATTTTGAACAGGGAGAGTAATAAAACAGAATAGAACCACACATTGCAAAGGGCCATGGGGAAGTTAAGAAAGCTCGAGCTACACGAGATTTTTCTTTTTTTAAAAAAAAAAAGAAAAGAAAATTAAAAAAAAGGACATGGAATGGATGATGGATGAGCTCATGGAATTGAAATCTTGGTTGCTGGCACATTGAAGTCGCGTGAATCAACCATGGACAATTTACTCCTTGCTTTATTGTTTTCGCTGAGATAAGTATCTATTTTTTTTTTCAACAATAAAAAATTTTAGTTCTTAGGTAAATAGCGTAGGAAATTACAGTAGCCGGAAAACTACACTAAGAGATAAATCATCCTAGACAAATTATTTCCTGCTCGAATTTTCAATCTACATCTATATTTTTTTATTTTATTTTTTTCTTGTTTTTTAATGACACGTCACCTTCGAGAACATTGTTAGTACCCACAAATTGCAAAGCATGAATTGCAAAAATGATGTGTGATCACGAAAGCTTAAAACTGGTAACTAATCCAGCAATGAGCATATATGCCTAATGCTATCCAGTGTTAGATGTATATCCATGATTACATAATCAAAGTTAAGAAACAAAAAAGTCCTAGTCTACTTTTCTCTACAATTTATGTAGACTAAAATGTTCAAATGGTCCTTTACATTTTGGGCCTACTTAAATTTACGTCACTTACATTAACATTTCAATATCGTAGTCCCAAACATTATGTTTTCACACTTTTTTGGTCCCATTTCACTATTTCCGGCTGTTGACATGCCGGAATCAGGGGTATTTTTGTCTTTTAATTTAATTTAAATTTTAATAAAAATTTAAATTATTAAAAATATTTTAAAATTCAGATTTTATTATTTAATTGTTAAAATATTATTTATTAATTAAAAATATTATTATAAAATTTTAAAATTTACATTATTTCTAAAATTAATTTTTTCGTTTATCATTTCTCTTAAGTCAAAGTAAATAGTAATTATGTTGCACTTTTAACTTTGGACCTACTGTAACTCAAAAAATTCACCGAGTTACAGTAAATAATTCAAAATTCAATTTCTTTAAAAAAAAAAGAAAAAACCAAACCATTTTTTTTACTCTGACCGCAATAGTAAACTCTAAATAGTAATTATGTTGCACTTTTAACTTTGGACCCACTATAACTTAAAAAATTTACCGAGTTACAGTAAATAATTCAAAATTTATTTTTCTTAAAAAAAGGAAAAAGCAAAACCGAGATTTTTTTTTTACTTTGACTGCTACAATTGAATTTTGAATACTTTACTGTAACTCGACAAATTTTTTAAGTTACATTGGGTGTAAGGTTAAAAGTGCAACATAAAGGTTTACTGTAGCGGTCAATTATTTTGTTTTGTTTTTTTCTTTTTTTTTTTAAAAAAATTAAATTTTTAATTATTTACTGTAACTCGATAAATTTTTTAAGTTATTGTAGGTCCAACGTTAGAAAAGCAACGTAACGGTCAGAGTAAAAAAAATCTTGGTTTTTCTTTTTTTTTTTGAAAAAATAAATTGAATTTTGAATTATTTACTGTAACTCGGTAAATTTTTTAAGTTACAGTGGGTTCAAGGTTAAAAGTACAATATAATTACCATTTAGGGTTTACTATAGCGGTCAGAATAAAAAAAATCGTGGTTTTGCCTTTTCTTTTTTTTAAAAAAAAAATTTGAATTTTGAATTATTTACTGTAACTCAGTAAATTTTTTAAGTCACAGTGAGTCCAAGGTTAAAAATGTATTATAATTATCATTTAGGGTTTACTGTAGCGGTCAAAGTAAAAAAAATCGTGGTTTTGTTTTTTCTTTTTTTTTCAAAAATTTGTTTGAATTATTTAATGTAACTAGGTAGATTTTTTAAGTTACAGTGGGTACAAGGTTAAAAGTGTAACATAATCACCATTTAGGGTTTACTGTAGCGGGTAAAAAAAATCTTAGTTTTACTTTTTACTTTTATTTTTTTTAAAAAAAATTGAATTTTGAATTATTTACTGTAACTTGGTTAATTTTTTAAGTTACAGTGGGCCCAAAGTTAAAAGTGCAACATAATTACTATTTACTGTGTACTTAAAGTAAATAGTAAATAAATAAAGTAATTTTGAAAATAATGATAAATTTTAAAATTGTAGAATAATATTTTTAATTAATAAATAATATTTTAACAATTAGATAATGAAATTTGAATTTTAAAATATTTTTAATGATTTAAATTTTAATAAAAATTTAAATTAAATTAAAAGACAAAAATACCCCTGAGTCCAGCATGTCAACAGCCGGAAACAGTGAAATGAGATCAAAAAAGTGTGAAAACATAATGTTTGGGACTACGATATCGAAATGTTAATGTATGAGACGTAAATTCAAGTAGGCCCAAATGTAAGGGACCATTTGGACATTTTAGTCATTTATGTATCAATTACCAAAGATTGAAAATATGCTGTTTATTACTGAGCAAATGCTATAAATTAACTTTAATGTAAAACCCATTAGAACATTTTTTGTGATGGTAAAAGTTAATTGATTATAAGCACATTACACTCTCTATCATTATATATAGATTGTAATAATTTAGAATGGTGGTATAATTCATACACTATAAAATGTTGGGTTTTGTAGGTCTTCATATATTTTTTTTATGATTCTAGTTAATATTTTTTGATATGGTTTATGATATAATGTAATAATGGTTTCGTTTTATACTTTCATACCACAAACCATTGTATAAGAAAGAGAATAAAAGTACAATAACGTAAAATAACAGCGATAAAACTAGTGAAAAATATATGCTGAAAATTCATAGTAACTGATGTATGTGTAATAATTAAAGACAAAACGTTATTTTTGAAATGAAATACCGTATGTAATTTCTACGGCAATTTATCGGAACAATTCAGTTACTATTTCTTTTCACTACTATATATCTGTGATTATGCATATCATTTTCCTTTGTAAAAATAGTGACGTGACGACCGTATTATACAAATTCAACATATAAACTAATGCAAATGCTTTCAATTTAATATAACAAAGAAAATCAGAGAATAAATTTCAATTAACAATAGAGATTGTTCACTTGCATCCCCCAATCTTGTCACAATAATCCTCGAATCCTTGGATATACAGAGTCATTAGTACGCCATAAACTAAGATATCATCAATTCTTCAGAAGCTACATATTACGCAAAAAATATCACAACCTCCCTAAGATATTACTACTATTCCAAATTAGCGTTGTGTCTAAGCACAATGTTTGTGTGTGTAGACATTGGACATTTCCACAATTTGAATGCAAAAAAAAAGGCCACAAACTGGCAACATCCAGTGGGCAAGCAAAAGTCATCTGACCGTAACGCCGACGTGGCAAAAAGTGCAAGAGATTTTTACATTTAGCCAAAATGAAGAAAAAAACCCCAAAAAGAAAAAAGGAAAAGAAAAAAAAAAAACCCAAATTCCAACAGATAATATCCTAAGGAGGAGCTCAAGAAGAAGATATTTCAATACCCAAACCGTCATTGTCAGATCAATTGTACAACACTCAAAGCACAAGGTACAACCCATCGAAGCTATCCTTTTAACTCTAAAGGCGGTGGCTTCACGCACCCATCCTGATTAAGCCCCAAAACAAAAACCTTTTGCCTGTGTAGATCGGACTCTTCTCTTTCTTTGCTTCTCCTTACCACTCATTTCCTTTCCACATGTAAACCAAAAATTTTGGGGAAAATAAAGAAAAGAAGAAAAAAACCCATTGTACCAAAGCGGAAAAACCCCCAACCCTAGCTAAAAAATTTGAACTTTGCTGCCTTTTCGATTGTTTTTTTGGTGTTTCTGTGACCAGCCCAGATAGTATTTGCTCGGTGTTTGTGATGGGTTGAAGTGTGTTTTCGGGGATGATGATGGAGTGGGACAGTAATTCTGATCCGAGTGGGGATGAATTTGAGGGTGATGATGACGAGGAAGAGGAGATGGGTTTTGGTTCCGGGTTCTTGTTCGGTGCCGCGGCGGCAAATGGTGGTGGGCCTTTGCCTTTTCCCGTGGACTCGTTGTTGCAGCCTGCGCCTTGTGGGTTTGTGGTTACGGATGCTTTAGAGCCCGACCATCCCATTATCTATGTCAATTCTGTCTTCGAAATGGTCACTGGTTATCGGGCTGAAGAGGTCCTCGGCCGTAATTGGTACGTTTCCCCATTTTCTGTAGCCAATTCCTGTTTCCTTCTGTTGTTGAATCGTGCTTTAGGTTAATCACGCGTTGGGACTGGTGAAATGCTTTGGAAAGATTGAATTTTGCAAGTGTTTGGGTGGAATTGGCAATTTTGTGCTCGAATTAGGTCTTAGATGAGAAATATTTGCAATCACTTTTGGTTTTAATAATGAGGGAATAGGGTGAAAATACTAATGAACCTTGAACGGAATGGGTTCTCAGATAATGAATTGTTATAGTCTGGATAAGTTTTGTTATTTAAGATAATGTATAGCTTCTTTTATAGTAGCTGATTTTAGAAAAAGGGGTTTGGTGCTTTTGGAATGCCAGTATATCAAACCCTTGTTTGATGGTTTATGCGGGAAATGAATAAAAATTTGTTGCTTTAGGCTTGCAATAGCTGCTTATGTTTTTATAGATGTCTTAATGTTGAAGTGGCTATAAGGAATGTGAACTTATTTTGTGCTATGAATGAGTTTGAGAACATTATGTAGCCTATTAAGTGTTTTATACTATGGGGTGTACTTCTGACAGTAGTTGCTTGGGATTCATGGGTAATAGGATATGGTGAGAGAGATTGTTGTTCAAGCTTTATCTTTGTCCTGCATTCTTCATGTTTATCACGTGGTTTATAAATTATTGGTTTATGGAGCTCGAAGCTTTATAGGTACGATCACAACACCTCAATGCATATAGGTTAACTGATGTGTTACCATAAAACTTTTATGAATAGTTCGCTATTCTGCATGGCATTTAGGCTTAATTTAGTTTCTGGAAATTAAGATTCTATCCTGCTCTTCCCATGCGTAGATGTGCATGCAAATACAGATTTATCGATACCCACATGAAGGATTTTGGTTTAATGAAAACTCGTTCGTCATTTTAGCTATACTTGACGTGCATTTGGAGTAGCTGCCTGTGGAATTTTATTTGTTCATATAGATCTATGCTTGAAGAAAATTTCAAACGCGAGTACAGAGATATTTGGGCTAAAGTTTAGAGGGTGGTTAGTGAAATGATTTCTTAGGCTGAAAAAGCTTGAGCTGGATGAGTTTTGGGATATCCTTTCTTTTGTCCTTTTGTTTCCTATTGATTTGAAGTATTAGATTGATCACCAATCCTGTTCATAATGAAGACAGACCACTGAGTTCAAGTTGGAACAAATAGAAAAGTGTTTCTTAGATTTGTGATTGTAAAGAACTTGTGATTGAAGTGAAAACACTATAAATATGCTTTACTTATCTGAGGTTATGGGGATTAATGAACTTGAAAGAAATGAAGATATTTGACAAATGAATGTTTGGATATGTTTGGGCACGGTATCTTGTATGTAGTGAATGCTTGGGACATAAAATTTGGGGGTGGGGGGGGGGGGGGGGTGGGGATGGGATGGGGAGCGGGGTTCTTATTATATGTCTGCTTGTACAGTTCTGTATCTGTTGGGGTTGTGTAATCAACCAATTACTTAGAATGACTGGAGGATTGGTCCTGAACAAGTATATGAGTCTTCATGTCTTGTATGTACTCAGCCTGGGAATTTAACATGCGTTTGCTGTAAATACTGCTGAATTACTTTTCTTATATGTACTGTATTTCTGCGAACGTTTCTTATAACTAAGGACTTCATTTTCTATTATTATATTTTGATGTTGAAAATATTCACTCAACCGTTTGTCTTTTACTGATAATTTGTAACTGCATCTTTGGGTAGTTGCCCAGTTGAAATGTAATAAGCATGCGTCAAACCTTGGAAAGTTGGATGCTATAGTATTTTTGTTCTTTTGCTTCGAGGTTATCATGAAATATCTCCAACAACAGTGAAAAGAATCCGTTGAGGGTTGATCAAGGCTCTAGGATAAGGTTTTGCTTTCTTTATATGGTGTGATATTGTTTTTTGGAGTTAGCAATCATGTTGTGTTTTACTCTGGTAATGTATGTTGAATTTTTGCTCCAATTTTGAGCTTTCACATTTTTCTTGTTTGTCTATAGTGTTAAACTAAAGGCCCTGGAGGTGTTGGTTGTAGTCTTGTTCATTAGATTCACAAAGGTTTTACTTTTTAGGGAATGCCTTTCTAGTGTCTTATTTGGATTTTGTACTGACTGCGTTGGGATGTTAATGGTTAATTCAATATTCATTTTCAGTAACTCATCTATTGGCTTGAAGTGCATCTTAAAATCCTACTTCCTTGCTCTCTTTGCACAGTTTTCCTGGAGTTAATTGTAACTTTTGCTCTTAGTTTGTGATATTACTCCCCTGAGCTAACCTTGTTTTGTTGATTTTATTGCAGTCGTTTTCTGCAATGCAGAGGCCCGTTTGCGAAGCGAAGGCATCCATTAGTGGACTCGGCAGTAGTTGCTGAAATTCGAAGATGTCTTGAGGAAGGAGTTGAATTTCAAGGCGAATTGTTAAATTTTAGGAAAGATGGTTCCCCCTTGATGAATAGACTGCGCATGACTCCAATCTATGGAGAGGATGAGACAATAACTCATATCATTGGCATACAGTTTTTTACTGAAACAAATCTAGATCTTGGTCCACTTCCAGGGTCTTCAGCAAAGGAGTCCGCAAAATCATCAGACAGATTCCGTTCTAGTCTCTCTGCTTTTGGAACGGTAGCTGATGGCAAACACAATGTCAATAGAGGGCTCTGTGGTATATTTCAGTTGAGTGATGAAGTTTTGTCTCTCAAGATACTTTCACGGTTGACTCCAAGAGATATTGCATCAGTGGGTTCTGTTTGTAGGCGGTTTTATGAGTTGACAAGAAATGAGGATCTTTGGCGAATGGTTTGCCAAAATGCATGGGGTACAGAAACAACTCGTGTGTTGGAGACAGTGCCTGGAGCTAAACGATTGGGATGGGGTAGATTGGCCCGGGAGCTTACCACGCTTGAAGCAGCAGCATGGAGAAAGCTAACAGTGAAAGGTGCAGTTGAACCATCTCGTTGCAACTTTAGTGCATGTGCTGTTGGTAATCGGGTTGTTCTCTTTGGAGGAGAGGGAGTGAACATGCAACCTATGAATGATACTTTTGTTTTGGATTTAAATGCCAGCAGTCCTGAGTGGCAGCATGTAAAAGTAAGTTCTCCACCTCCTGGACGCTGGGGTCACACTCTCTCTTGTGTCAATGGATCCAATTTGGTTCTGTTCGGGGGCTGTGGGACTCAGGGGTTGCTTAATGATGTATTTCTGTTAGATCTAGATGCCAAACATCCAACTTGGCGCGAGATTTCCAGTTTAGCTCCTCCTCTTCCGAGATCTTGGCACAGCTCCTGCACTCTTGATGGGACCAAGTTGATAGTCTCTGGTGGCTGTGCAGATTCTGGAGTTCTCCTAAGTGACACATTCCTTCTGGATCTTTCAATGGAGAAACCTATTTGGCGAGAGATACCTGTAACATGGACCCCACCATCTCGTTTGGGCCACACACTCTCTGTTTATGGTGGTAGGAAAATTTTGATGTTTGGTGGTCTAGCAAAAAGTGGTCCTTTACGGTTTAGATCAAGTGATGTGTTCACTATGGATCTGAGCGAGGACGAACCATGTTGGAGATGTGTAACCGGGAGTGGAATGCCTGGTGCTGGAAACCCCGGTGGAATTGCGCCCCCACCTAGACTTGATCATGTGGCAGTGAGCCTCCCCGGGGGCAGAATATTGGTTTTCGGAGGGTCTGTTGCTGGTCTTCACTCTGCTTCCCAGCTCTATATTCTTGACCCGACGGAGGAAAAGCCTACATGGAGGATCTTAAATGTGCCTGGAAGACCACCTAGGTTTGCTTGGGGACACAGCACGTGTGTTGTTGGGGGCACTAGGGCCATAGTTCTTGGAGGTCAAACAGGGGAGGAGTGGATGCTCAGCGAGCTTCATGAACTATCACTGGTTAGCAATATCAACAACTGATTTGAGGAAAATGGAGATCTAATAAACCGGAGGCTGTCAAACAGAAAGCCTCGGGGCATTTTCTGGCCTCAAGAAGTACTTGCACATGAGCGTAGAGATTACTTCCTCGGCAGTTGGCAGAAGCATATTACCGATATTTCTGCAACATGTACATCCGTTCTGCAGGTAGCTGTCTTTGTGAAGTTTTTGCTCAGACACAGGATACTCAGGATCTGTTTGACCTGGATTTAATTTTGTGAGATTTGTATTGCATTGTGGTTCAGGAATCTTTAGTCAGGTCATTCTCCCTGTCTAGGCTAGTAGAAGTTTTAGAGATGGTAGGGATTAATATTATATGTAGAATTAGAGTACCTGGTATGCCTTTGTTATTGTGGTTCTGGGTCTGTAATTTGAAGCCTGAGAAAAGGGGATTTCAAAAGGGGAGGGGAAAAGGAAATGTAAAACCATAGTATGATAGGGGTGGGGCTTGTCCACGAGGTTTGATTATATGCTTTTCATTTTTTGCCTCAACCATGTTTTTATATATAACAGATTCTTCATGTCATAACACCTCAGAGCATTGGCTGTTTCGCCACTTTGTAAGTTTCATGTCTCATTTTTGTTACCCGAATCACACTGTTCAGCTCTATGATCGGTTCATTTTGTCTAGCAGCAGACTTGAAGAGTTGAATGCGATCTTGAATTGTGTTTCTTTATCTGTTTGGTTTGTTGTAGATGAATTTGGATTATGTAGAGTTTTGTAGGCGAAAATATTAGTCACATTGATTAAAATTGTGATTTATTGACTTGGATCATGGGTCGAACCACCTAGTCAATACGCATAGTATAATTAGTTTGGTATTAAATACCAGTAATATAATGCCTACTCAAGTGCAGCCGGGTGACCATTGTCAATCCTTGTTTATAACACCATCACCATCAAATTGCACTTAATGTTGCCATTTTGTTCCAACATATACACCAACACACATGATCCGTTATAACTTGTTTTGAACTAATAATACTAATACCTCTCGCTGGTGATAAGCATATCAGATTTTTATTCTTTCGAAAGAACTAGTAAAGAGCAGAGCCCACCTGAATGGCCCAAAAGTGTGGAATGGATTTCGTATTTGCCCAATGGTTGGGAGTTGTGCATGAATTCTACACCATTTTCATTAGACATTCCAAAACTAATTCAAATTTGGAGAATAGTAATGACTTTAATCAATTTATTGTCTGGTATGGTATCGATATATGCTAGCAACAAGAAGCAAGGAGTTTTCCTAAAATTTGCTATACCAATTTTAATTACTTCTCATTAGTAGAATTATTATTTTTGTGGGACGGAATTGGTATAAAAATCTTCCGCCAAAATCTTTCCTGATTGAGGCCTGCCTGTTAGCAAAGATGGTGTTGCATCCACTGAAGAGATAATCAAGGGCCCATTTGTTGCCGGCCTGGATCACATGGGCCATATTTTGAAGCAAAGGATTTGAGACAGCGATGAGGGATGGGTGATGAAGGTTTCCTGTTTGATTCTCGACTAGAAATTTGGTTGAGGAGAAAGTGAAAATAAGGAATGGAAGAAAAGGAAGGAGGAGAAAAATGGAAGATGACTTGGGAATTTAAAATATGAACAACTACTAGTTCTTATGGTCAAAGATTGAGAGAATTATTCTTTTTTAACAAAATTTGTTTATGAACATATACTCCCTCAGTCCTTTTGTCTCAAAATTACTGTTCAATTTGAATTTTTATTATTAGTTTAATTTGTACTGAAAATGAAAATTCAAACTGCACAATAATTTCAGGACGAAGGGAATACTAATTGTTAGGATTTGTTCCGTAAAGAGGTCATAGATATACATATCTTATGATTTAAAAAATCATGCTTTCTGAATAGACATTGTTAACAAACAATAGTCATACTAGTTACAGTAATAGTAAAAACAAAACAGTTTCATACAATTGTTGCAATCTAATCCCTTTTACCTAAAAAAATATAGTTCTTGACAACAAAATGCCTTTTGATTTTAGGATGGATAGAAAGTTATCATGATTCCATATTGTTGAGTGCACTCACCAATCTATTAATTGGCTGATTTTAGACATTACTAGTATCTCCAAATTCACCGTGGAGACTAATTTGGATACGATTTCAGTATTTTTTTTTTTGGGGTGGGTGAAATTAATAAATCCTCAAATGGCTAAAGTCAGAAAATTTTCTTGCTGGAAAAATGTCCATTGTTTGGAATCACATTGACGAAAATGAAGAGACTTTATATATTACATTTGGTTCTTTGATGTTATGACCTTTTATTTCCTTCTATTAATTTATTCTTTTATTTCATTTTAAAGATTATGAACAAATTAATGTTCTTTATTAGTAGAGGAGTTTTTTTTCCTTCTCTTTAACTCAAGAAAATGAAAAGATTTTATATGTTACATTTTCTATTCTTTTAATGTTTTGATCTTGATTTTCTTCCATTAATTTCTCTTTTATTTTTATTTTAGAAAATTTAGAACAAATTAATGTGCCTTGATTTCAACTAGAGCATTTTTCTAGCTTTTATTTTTCATATGTCTTTTATTCTTCTTTTCTTTGAATTTTAAGATTTCATTAGTGAGAATTTAAACAAATTATTCTATAACTCAAATAGAATACTAAGAGTTTCGTATCTTTTTGAATTTGTCGATATATATAGTTCTAAAAAATAAGAGTTTTGACACATTTATCTTTTTCTTTCTTAGTGTTCACCCTCTGCTCTCAATTGTCTTTTCATCCCAAATTTATTGAGAGTAATCACCATTATTTTGAAAAATATTCACTTACGTGCGAACTGCGTTTATTCGTAGCTATAACTGACTAATCGTCTGGAAGAACATGCACACACCAACGTCAGATTGTCTAACACAAGAATCACGTTGCATGCAAAAAAAAGTGTTTGGATGGACCAGCGATTCATAATAAATTCACCTACTTAGTTTACATATTGAATCTATTACTTGTTATTCAGTTTGAATTTTCATTTTTTTTATATACAAATTTGTATATGTAAGTTAAGAAAAAAAAAATTTCAAGCTAAATAACCATTTTAAGACAGAGAAAATACCCTCTGCCTCGAGTTTCATTTTAGTTAACCAATTTGACGTTCACCTGAAAAAAGTATTTATGCATGTACTTTGTCGAACCATATATGCCACGCTTTTTTTGAATGATTATGATTGTAATTTTATTGACTGAAATGTTTGGAAACAATCAAAAGTTCTTAAAATTTCTGAATTAATAAATATTTTTTTCTGTCTTAAAAAATTCAATTTAGTTTACATTGAATTTTTGAGATTTATACTAAAATTAATATAAATATAAAAATTCAATTTAGATTATTTCTTTTAGAACAGAGTGAGTAATACGCGACATGGACAGCATGATTAAAGCACTGATAAATAAGCACAGAGGTAGTAATTATTTTCTAGTATTCTTAAACAATAAAATGGGATTATGCTTCCGGCTTTCTGCAGTATAAACTACTCCCTCTGATCCTTAATATAAAGTATTTTGATTTGTCTTATGTTTCATCTAGTATGCATTTTTAATTAACAAAAACATCTTAAAAATATTTCATAATAATCAAGAGAACGCAACGAATGTGAAAATATATTTTTAAGATTTTTTTGTCAATAAAAAATATATACTAAGTGAAACTTATGACAAAATTAAAATGCCTTATATTAAGGACCAGGAGAGTATAAAGAATCTTCTTTGGTGCTTTCGATACATGGATCGTAGATTCGGTTTCAAATTCTTTTCCTTTATTTTTTGTTTTTATTTCTTATTTATGTGTTTTTTCCCAAAAAAATGCTAGCGAGATTTTGGAAGTAAGAGATCATTACAATATCATTGTTTTAAACTAAGAAAACTAGCCAGATAATCATGTGTAAACTTAGTACTTGTTTGAATAACGTTTTGTTTTAGTTTTTGATTTGGATTTAAGATTTAAAAGTTAGTTTAGTTTTTGATTTGGAAAATATTATAGTTCAGTGAATATTTATGAAATTGAGATAGTTCAGTGACCACACGTAAAATTTGAAATCTCGTTAAAACAAAATGAGCAAATTCAACGTCAAATGTATATCTTAAAACAAAAAAAAAAAACAAAGTCCAAATTTGGTCATTACTAATGAAGGACCCTCTTCATGACACCCTTTTTCTTCCGATACGAAAATTCCCTTTCGATTTCAGAAATAAATCAATAATTCACACTCATATATTTTTTGTTCAATTATCATTGTAGCGTGTTTGTTCCGTTGGGGAAACCTTTCTCAACAGAATATGGTCCCTAAGGACCCAGAATGAGACACAACCAAACACATTGTAATAAATTTCAAAACCTTTTCTTCTTTTTTCTTTTTCTTTTTTTTTTTTAATTTTTTTAATATTTGTTTAATAATTGAGAGTATCACATGCTTCTGTCTGATCAAATTTCACGAGAGATGTCAAAGTTCTCAAGAAATTCCTTGCATAAAATTTGTACAATATTTTGATAAGACCTAGAATCTTGTTTGCTGTCTGTGATCAATTTTGTTATAACCCACCTAGTGAATTAGTTAGTGTTAGTAGTGTTTGGACAATCTAGGCAAAACGTATCATTAATTAGGTGCTCTAATTGTTTTTCTTTTTCGGTCAAAGATGTACTGAACAAATGGTACAAGTAATCCTTTTTTATCCAAAAAAAAAAAGAAAAAAGAAAAGGTTTTTAACTTCTGCCCAACATGAAAAGAGAGGGTCAAAATCAGGGACAGTATCACAGTGCCACAATATTTCTCAAAGTTACTTTTACATTTTGCGAACAACAATAAACCATCAAAGACATTGAAACTCTACAGTTAATCTATTAGCAATTAAATTCGACAGGACTTTTGAATTTAGTTTCAATGATCGAACATGCATGATAATCCAATTTGATAAATCTCATATTAGGTGATTAATCACAGTTGGTCATATTACCGGTTTTTAACGGTTAAATCTTTAAAGTTTTAATACTTTACAAAATGCATGTTTATATTCTAATTTCAAATAATTTCACAAAAGTAGAGAAAAATTCTACACGAATTAACATACACAATAAGTTTAAAGAACATCTTCCTTAAAGAAGGAAAAAAAAAAATTCTTGAATGAGACACTCAATTTTATAAAGGTCTCTCAACAAAATTATATCTCAAAATTATTTTTTAAAAAAGAAAAATTAATCATATGTCAATCATTTTCAATATCCATCATGCTGATATGATGTATTAAAATGATATATTTTAAACGTGTGTTACGTTTACACATTATCATGTAAAATAACAAAAGTTAGAATAACGAAATGAAATAATATATATATATATATGTATGAAGGAAGTAACAGTTAATCGGTTAAACCAATGAAGGTAATATTTCAATCTTGAACTGATCCATTTCACCTGTAGAACTAATTAACCAAACCGTTTAACCGTCTCAGCTGTCGAATACAATTAAACGGTTTGGTTTTGAATGGTTTCTGATACAACTTAAAAGAAATCTAAAGAAAAATAAATGTACAATGGATGCCATTATAATACTTACTTTTTTTTAGGGAAAACATACTCCATTAATATTTCTAGAAATGGTCCAACACCATTTGATACAAGAACAAACCGTCCAAAGTGACGTACTGGAACCGTCCTGATGATGTATTCATGGCACTAGTCACTGCACCAGTAATTAGACCGATAAAACTGCCAAAAGGGTTAACAATCTTATAATGGCATAAATATCCTCAATTTTTCATGCCATCCAAAATTAGAACATAGGTAGACATCGCCAGTTATGGTCCTGCTTGTTACTACTAACTCGGCATCTTCCCACCAAGATTCCTCTTTTACCAAAATTTCCCAAACTACATATATATTTTTTGAAATTTTGTTTGTTTCCTGAAATAAATGTTACGGTTTTTAGCATGCCCTCTTTCAAAATTTGTTTTTTTGGTTAACAGCCCTCTTTCAATTTAGAAATATGTATTGGAAACGTGAAAGAATATGTCAATATTATACATATATTTTTTTTAATAGAAAAAAACTGTGAAAAATCCTATGGAAAAAAAAAATGAATTGATCAAAACAAAGGAGTCAATTCGGATTTGTTTGTTTGCTGGGTGGGCGGGCAGCTAGCGCTAGGACACATTGCGCTTGAAAATATTGGAGAAAAGACGAATGGGAGTGGACGTTTCTCTAACCGTTTGTGGACTGTAGTAACTTTTTCCAGTGATTACATCACTGTTTGAGTGTCAAAAATCTCTTCCATATATAATCTGGGTTTTGGGCAATGTTTCCAGTTCTTTGAGTTTTTGAGTAGCAATTTTGATTCAAGAAATCAAACAGCCATGGAATCGTTGTTCGTTGGTTCTTTGGCAAAGCCTTCCATTTTACCCTCATTTCCTGCCAAAGTTGACTTGTTCTCTCCTTCTTCGGGTAAGTTATATCTTGGTTAATTGCTCGTTCGTTATTTCCAATGCTTGCTCTGTGTATATGTTTTTGGGATTATTGTTTATTTACTTCCATGGGTTTTTGTTTCTGGATTGAATTCAGCCTTTTTTGGTCTGATATGAAACTTGTTTCCGTTCTTTTTATTGCTAATTGGCTGATGTTCTGTTTTTTTCAAATAATTCGGTCTCCATCGTTTGTGCATAAAAGTATTACCTTTGTGAGAATGCATGACAACCTTGATGAAAGTTTCAATAAACTGAGACAAGATCAGAACTGGGAATTTGTGAGACACTTTGCATTACTTTGCATTTCCAGTTTCCCAATTCATTCAGTTCAATGCTTCTTACTGTACTTTTGGTCAAATTGGTTTCGTGCATTTAGTTTAATTAAAAATCTTTTTCTAATCTGTTGTTAGTAATTCACGCTTGAACTATTTGATGGGATTCTGCGGCTAAAGTTTTCAGTCTGTTGATTTTGCCTGTAGGAGCACAAGTTTTGAGATTCAAGGAACGAAACAATTTAGATAAACAGTTTGGAGTGCCTAGTATTTCTCAGAAGAAGTTCCTGTTGTGCCAGCATGTTGGTGCTAGATATACGAGATTAGTTGCTCTATCTCGTAAAGGAAGCGACAAGTGCTTGGTGAATGCGGCTTCTGGACAACCTCTTGAATCTGAACCTTCAAAGGACCCCTTGAATACTCTTCAAGGGAGCTTAGATGCTTTCTATCGCTTTTCGCGGCCCCATACAGTAATTGGAACTGTAGGTTCAAAGATCTAATCACTATAATTTGTCACCATCACATACAATATTCAGTAGTCTCAGCACTATGCCTTCTGTGTATGTTACCAACATTAAGAATTTGTTTTACTCTTCTGTGAGCAGGTATTGAGCATAATTTCAGTTTCTCTTCTTGCAGTGGAGAAGCTCTCTGATTTTTCTCCCTTGTTTCTTACTGGGATGTCTGAGGTATGTTTGGAAATTTGATTGACTTTAGCAATTTAACTTTTCACTTATAATTATGCTGCATCTTAAGAGGTGAATTGTTAATTTCAGGCCATTGTTGCTGCCTTCTTCATGAACATATACATTGTCGGTTTGAATCAGTTGTCAGACATAGATATTGACAAGGTAGGACATTTCCTCGAACAGTTCTCTTTTAGATTCACCTTTAAGATTTATGATTTTCGTTGCATTTCTAAATGAAGCATGCAGACTGAAAAACGACCAGTGGTTATGAGTACAAGGCAACATTTTTCGGACATTTAAATTTCCCATGATAATGTTGTAATTTTCCATTTTCCGTCGTATGCTATTTTTCTTCTCTTTTGATAGAGAAAGCCTTCAGGGTAAAGTAACAGCTTTTTTGTTTTTTAAAAAAGAATTCTCTCTCTCTCTCTCTCTCTCTCTCTCTCTCTCTCTTTTCGTTAGCTTTAATCTGCCACAAGATGTTGCTGTTTTCAGGTTAATAAGCCTTACCTCCCATTGGCATCAGGAGAATATTCAATCAAGACAGCTGTGACAATTATTGCATCTTTTGCAATAATGGTATTCTTCTTTACTGTTTTACTTTGTTGAACTGCTGTTCTGGTGTAATCAAACCTTATTCATGTTCCAGCAGATTTCATATTATAATTACAAGATGTTCCTGTAGCTAGCTAAAAGTGCTTATATGAGGGCTGAAAACTGCCATTGTTGTTCAAAGTTAGCTCCTATTGACAGTCAGTTCCAAAATTAGCTTACCAAATTGTTTCTTCATGGTGAAATACTTCAACCTTCTCTTAGTGTTTTATGTAGAGGTACCTGTCTTTCTTCATTTCCCTTTCTTTGTTTTCTTGCTTAAGTATTTGAATCTCAATTGATGTTTGCTTTTGCTTAAGAGTAATTCTTGCGAAGACAGTAGAGTTGTGATTAGTATTAAATTGGAGTGCTGTTGTTTAATTTCACACTATCTCTACAGTGACTGGGATAAAAAAATAAAATAAAATTGAATCTTTCTTTCATAAATCATGTTACATTTATTGTGCAAACCAACTGAAAGTTCAGTAGTATTTCTATTTTGAGTGATGTATGATCTGAAGTACTCGACAAGAATAGGTGTCATTTGATGGGCAAGTTTTTCCTCTGATGTTGTGTAAAGAAAGAGTTCTAATATATTGGTATAAATCCGTTCGTTGATTAATTTTCAAGATAGGCTGAAGCGTGGATAACTTTTTTTGCTCTCCTGTTTCTCTACTGCGAAAAGAATCTCAAACATGCACTAGTGTTTTTCTGCTTTACAGCACCAATTCCTGTTTGTCGAGACCTGTCTTTGTTAATAATCTGCTGTATGTACATTTCTATCTGATCTGCTTATGGATATTGTGATCGTTGTTTACTGAGGGATACTATTATGGCTTGGGTAGTGTCTATTTGATCTAATTTTTGCAGTTTCTAAACTATTTGTTTCTCTTCATAGAGTTTTTGGCTTGGATGGATTGTCGGCTCGGGGCCATTATTTTGCGCTCTTTTCGTCAGCTTTGTTCTTGGGACTGCATATTCAATCAATGTGAGTTGCTTCATTCAAAAACATGTTCATGCTGGAGTAATTTTCAGCATGGCTATTCTATGGAACACAGTAGTCTTATGCATTTATATATTCCCAAAGCTCTTCAACATTGAATGATAATGCGTATCATATGATGCCTGTCTAACTTTTAATTCTTGTGCACATTCAACAATGCTTTGCACCTTATATATTGCTAAAAATCATGTCTTTTGATTTGTTTTTAAGCCACACCAAACTACTAGGAATATCTAGTGGGGCTATAATGTATAAGTGGCCTGTCAGGATGTTGAAACTATAAGGTTCCATTATCTTATTTCTTGTTAACTACTACGCAGGTACCCTTGTTGAGATGGAAGAGATTTGCCTTCGTTGCCGCACTCTGTATTTTGGCTGTGCGAGCAGTAATTGTGCAGTTAGCATTTTATTTGCACATACAGGTCTAAATTGATACTTTGTAACTTACTTTGTCTGATGTAGGGAATAATAACATGTTTAATTGTCTCATAGAATGTAGCGCTGAGTTTCCCCAGAGCTATGACCCATATTATGGGGCATGATTTTCTCCATAATCATGCAAGTAGTACAGTGTACAACTTCCTGTGCTCCCAAGGAGATTCTGAGCAACCCTTCGATTCACGTCTAGTCAAATAGGATTAGGTTTGATATAGAAAGCTCTATATGAGGTCGTAATGTTTGCATCTATTTCTTACATGATCTCGGTAAAACATTTCTGAAGCTGTATAATAAAAGGTCCTCTCTAGCTTTTCAAGTAGTGTTGCTTTTTGTATCATGTAGTCCTTAGCTGATTATCACTTTGTTCGATGGTGCAGAGTTTTGTGTTTGGACGACCTGCTCTCTTTTCAAAACCTGTAATATTTGCAACAGCGTTCATGTCCTTCTTCTCAGTTGTTATAGCTCTTTTCAAGGTAACTGCTAATTTCATGTATGGTAGTCCACTTTATATGCTTGAGAAGTAGGAGATATATGTGGTTTAGTTTTCATCTTACTTTAGTAAAAGTTTATGATCTCTGTGATATCCTTTTGAAAGTTATGGTACTTATACTTACAAAGTGAAAAACTTCTGAGGTAGGATTCCTTAGATGTCATCTCCCATTGTCACTCGCCAAGATTACAATCTCAACTTCAAAAAGGTGTGTGATAAGTGCCTTAATACCAAAGATAAAATTTAATTCTATAGGTAGAATTAAAACCTTAAAGTGGCAGTCGGAGTTTGAGTTGGCTATCAACTACTCTATAGGTGAAAATAGGAGTCTAAACTACCCAGGAGGAGTGACGATAACTGGCTGTATTCTTTTTTTTTATTTTTTCTAAAAGTAAATTAAAAATGAAAATGACACGATAACCTTGATATCGCCATCAGCTGCTGTGTTATATTATGCCCATTTATTGCTTGTCCACTTCCTGTTAGACAAATTGAGTATCTTGCTGATTTAAAGGTTTGACTTTTGCAGGATATTCCTGACATTGTTGGGGACAAGATATATGGTATCCGATCTTTTACAGTCCGGTTGGGTCAAGAGAAGGTTCGACCTCAGTCAGCATATCACCTCTATGCTTTGTCTCCCTCCTCTAATTAAACTTTTACAGGTTTTTTGGATTTGCATTGCTCTTCTCCAAATCGCTTATCTTGTTGCCATTTTGGTTGGAATGACAGCTTCCCAAAACTGGAGCAAAGTTATAACAGTGAGGCTCTCTTCCAATGTTATTGTTTCAATAAAATCTGATTTTGCGAGTTTCTTTTGAGTGGGATTAAACTCCTGGATATTGCCTTCTCCTTAGGCCACAAAGTGAGGGTAATTAATGTCTAGAAGTTACATCAAGAGCATGGAAAAAAATAGGTCGTGTATAAATGGGTTATAGGTTGAAGTCTTGAAGATCGAGGATGTTCATATTGTAGTTATTGTTTAATCCATTGACTCAAAATGATATTTAGGCCGCAGGGGTGGGTGTGGGGCTTTGGTTGGTGGGTGTAGGGAGTGTTGGTCAATTAACTTTGGTGTCGGGTCAAAGCTTCAAGATAACTTTTTAATGCATCCATTCTTAATGTCCAGATTGCTGGTCACATTCTTTTGGCTTCCATGCTCTGGAGTCAAGCCAAATCCGTTGATCTGGGAAGCAAGGCAGCAATAACATCATTTTACATGTTTATATGGAAGGTAACGTCTTATTTCAAAGTTTAAACTTGAAAGGTGTGCATGATGCAAAGAGTTGTGATGAACATTTAACATGGCAGGAGATATGATTGAGACACTATATATATGCATATTTCTCTGTTTTACCATCATTTATCTTCTTTTTGGCCTATGCACATCTCAAAATTTTTTTCTTTTTGTAATGTCTTTTACTCCTCGCTTTTCACCCATTGGGACCAAACTGGAGTATTCTGATGTTCCTACTTCATACTCGTCTTTAAGTCCTTTCATTTGGGGTTTCTAAAATCCATTTTGATGCCTTTCTTCTCATAATTTCGCAGCTCTTTTATGCTGAATACTTCCTGATACCTTTCGTACGATGACTTGAAGACATTGTTGCAGAAGTGGATATGTTTTTTTTACCGTTAGATATGTACCTTGATAGCTAGTCATTTTTCTTTTTGGTTTCTTGATAATTTTGTTTATAATGCTAGAATACCCAGGGTTTGTACTAGATTTTATCAGTGAACATTGACGTAGTCCTAGATTCAGACACTTGTACTCTTGATTCATACCAACAACGCAGGTTTCTGTTTCTGTTCTTTTAATTGTGCTAGTAATTCTTCTGGTGGTTTAGACTTTCTCGTTGATTTGGTGGATTTCAGAGTTTTTATCAGTACCGGGAAGAGAAGAATTGAAAGTGGAGACTTACGAACTTTTCTTTGGGGGAAAAATAACTTCTTTTATAAATCAGTCACTCTTGATTGATATAAGAAACGGAGCGGTAAATACCAAGTCGTAACATGATATCGTTGGTATGTCTGATTAGGGACCTGACATAGTTGGATTGGATGGACAAACTAATTTCGATCTTACTAAAATTTAACAAGTTATACGCCAAGATGTAACATCATCCACCTCGGATTAAGACTTCTGAAACTAATGCAGTTGACATGTCTAATCATAAATTGAAATGGTTGGGTTGAACAGACCATATAATTAATGGATGCTGTTTATCAAAAGAATAAAAATAAAAAAGTAATGGAGGCTAGAATTTAACGAGTCCTGATTATTACTTGAAGTGTGATGATAATCGGTATACATCTACGACTTGGAAAAATAATGCAGTTGACATGTTTTATCAGGAATTGAAATAGGTGGATGGACTTATAAATAAATATTTTTTTTTGGGTGTTTTCACGATTTTTTAACATGGAAAAAATATTTTATTTGTAGAACAGAAGGATTTATAAAGGTCAAATCATTTGATTATGTTAAAAAAGAAAAAGAAATACTATCATTAAAGATAATTTTGAAATTCATCATACACCATTCTCCAGTACAAATTAAGAATCTTGTTACGCGTATAAATCTCAATTAACATCGCTGTGACTTGACAACTAACAAGTTAAGAGAGACTTTTCAAGTAATTAATTATTAGGTAATAGATGAAAATGGGAAAATTTGAAAAAAAAAAGAAGAAGAAGATGAAAATGGAAAAATTTGTTTTGTTTATTTGTCGTTTCATTTTAGTTTTTGTCTCATTTTACCTCTTAAACACAAATTTCAACACACTATCCAAACATCAATTTAATTTACCTTTTAAACTATTGTAAAGTTTAGTGCCGATGGTCACTAAACTATTTTAAAAGTTTTAAGTTTGGTCACTAAACCATTGTAAAGTTTTAAGTCTGATCACTATACTATCTTACTTTCAAAAAATGGTCACTACACTATAATACTTTCCAAAAATTGTCGCTAAACTACATTTTAAATCTCCTCCCAAATCCAAATGAAAAACTAAAACAAAATATTGTCCAAACATCAAATACTCCTGATCCCATTCATAGGCAACGACAATTTTTTAAGATCCATTTATGAATTGGTATTGTTTTCTGTAACAATAATTCCTATTTTGAAGAGACATATACAATATTACTCCATCCGGTCCTTAATTTAAGACATTTTGATTTAATCTAGTACATCTTTTTAGTTGACAAAAAAACCTTTAAAATGTTTCATAACAATCAAGAGAATACAACAAACATGAAAATATATTTTTAAGATTTTTTTCGTCAATTAAAAATGTATTCTAGGTGAAATTTAGGACAAAATCAAAATGCTTTATATTAAGAGCATGAGGAGTAAGTTTTAAACAATTTAAAGATTTATTTGAATATGTGTTTAGCCAAAAATATATTCGGCCTAAAATGGGTTCAAATAGTAATTTGTTCAAATTGACTCCGTAGTACTACGGTCAACTAAGCATAATTGGTGTCGATGATAATGAATCGATGAGTAACTCATAATTTTCTAAGTACGTAAAATAATCAGTCTGACTAGTTGTGTTGTGTACAACAATTAAGTTGGCAGGCAACACCTTGAGTGATTGATTTTTCGAAAACTCCCTAAATATTTAGGCTTGTTTGGACAACTCACTTTTTGCATTTTTATCTCATTTTACCTCTTAAAATACCTCTCAAACACAAATTCCAATACTATCTAAACAATTTTTTAATTTACCTTTTAAAAAATATTCTAAAAATTATTTTAACACAATTTTCGTCCACAACCACCGGACCACCTCCGCCACGACCGGACCACCCACCACCGCCGGCCGGTGACCGCCCGGTCGGATTCTGGCCAACTCGCCGGAATTTGGCCTTCCGGCGGCGGCGGTGGGCGGTCCGATAGCGGTGCCGGTGGTGGAGGTGGTCCGGTGGTTCTCTAAAAATATTATTATTTTATTTAAAATATTACTCAAACAATTTTTTAAATTTTATCTCAAAACACATTTTAAATCACATCTCAAAACCAAATAAAAAACTAAAACAAAAACAAAAACAAAATGTCGTCCAAACAAGCCATTAGTTTTCCGAAATATTTCCTACACCACACCAATTATATACCGCTTCCCAGAACCCTCTATTAATGGGTGAACATGCATCCTGTAACTAATCGATTAATTTATTCATGTTTGGTCCAGTTTATTTTTGTTTTATTGATTTTTATTTTGAAGGTCAGTAACATAATTAAGTGTAGGAAATCCTCAGCTAAAAATCGGGATCTCAATGGTCTTTATGCACTAATTAATTTGATTATCATGTGGGGTGCGTGCTATAAAATTAATTAGGCTTTGGAATCATTTTGTTGATCTTTCAATTTTCTTATTCCTTTTCCTGGGGTGGAATTAATTGCCTCATTTCTTTAAAAAAATTAAAGTACGAACTTCAGACGTTGCAACATCCATAAATACCTTCTCCCGAAACCAAAACAAAACACACAAATTTTCACATATAAACACACACACACACACACACACTCTTATAAGCTATAGCTATTCCATCTTTTGTGTAGTGCAGAAGAAATCTTCAAAATGGCAAAGTTTGCTACAAGCAGCTGCGTCATCTTGCTTTTCCTCCTGGCAGCATCGTGTAAGTAAATATCGATTTTCTGTACCGTTCCAAAATAATTGTTCAACATGTATGTACACATACACGTAACACGTATAAATCATTTTTTGTCTCTTTAATATTTGTTTGCAGATGTGACGGTGGAAGCACAAAATCTCACCTGTAGTATGAATGGTCAGTGGTGCGGATGGGGTCTGAGAGCTTATTTCGGTTGCGGAGACCCTGCCTGCTCTTGCGTTTATTCCTCCTGGTTTACCGTATCGGGAACATGCACCGGCAGCAATCCATGAGACTGATGATGAAAATCATCAAAGATATATAATGATCCAACAAAATTAATACAACATTGAAGCTCTATAGCTTTTGGAATGGGATAGATCATCATTTCTCTCTCCTTTTCTTTTTGTAATTTTCTATCTGCTTGTGCTTTATTTCACAAATTTGACAAGTTTGTCATCTATGTATACGTTGATCTTCAATCATCAATAATAATTTATTTATTTATTTATTTTTTTTTATAAAAGTTCATTTTTTCCCCTTTCCAAAGCCGTAAGTATCATATTTTAAATTGTTAATCTTAATCATACTATTTTGGATACATAGGTTGGAATTGATATAGCAATAATGAGAAATTAGATATGTTGTAAAGATTGCTTCAACATTCAACAATAATTGGATCACCATTTCAAAACAAAAAAAAAAAAAAACAAAAATTGGACCAACTTTTACATCTCTAGCCACGGGCAATCAAAAGAGAATTTTAAGTCTTTGGATTCACAACATGACAGTCTGCTGGTTTGTGTCTATGTGGAGTAAAACACGGCATAATCGATATTTTCTATTTTCGTAACATAATTAGTTAAGCCTTTTTAGGCGTTTGTCACTTTTATATACAAGTTTGAAATAAAAGTGAAAGTCTAAAATACATAATTATTTCGAGAAAAAGAGATTTTATGCTTGCTTTACCATGATCTCAAGTCATTTTCATTTTTTTTAACTATTATTTTTTTAAAATATTTTATAATTATAATACAAGAAAGTCCAGAATTTAGACTCAAATATTTTGCAGCTGTCAAAATAATTTTTTCTTAACCAAAGGCGTTGTGGTGGAGTGGTAATTAAGGATTCCTTCAACCTTAATCATAGGTCGAGGGTTCGAACCTTATCATGGGTAGGGAGCGACCTTTAATCCTTTGGCCAGATTTTCCACCCATTAAGGTACTTATCATGAGTGAGGAGATAAGTCGCGGATGGTAGATACCTTGTAATATGAAAAAAAAAAATGAAACAATATTTTTTTCTTGGAAATTGCATGGATAGGCAACTCACGTTGCGGGGCATATATCTCTGACCCGGACGTATCCAGTAGTATGTAAAAGACTTGATAATTATTTCCATCAATGAAAAACAAAATAAGTCAGACTTTCTTTATCTTTCAAAATACTTTGGCTTTCCTCCACATGCAATATTCCTCAAGTAGTTATACAATTGTTCGGAGTGCTGTTAAAAGAATGGTAATTCATTCAAAAGTAGCAAAATTATATTCCATTAGATCTTAATTTATAGGGCACAACTTTAAACTAATTTTAGTGTTAATTTGTGATTTATAATTTAGATAGGAGGGATACTACGTTTTATTTAATACCGGTTTTTTTTTTTTTTTGTTTTTGTTTAAATGATCATATTGGCACAGAGAGCACAAACTAATTTTTCTTTCTTTTTTGTAGACGTATATTTAAAGGGAAAATTTTTCTGTATGTACGAACTAGTTAATTATAGCTTGTAAATACTGCCCGAAATTCTGGATCTGGATGCTTTTTCGATACCTAGTTATTTTTCAATAACATAATTCAGCTCGACTTGAAGTGCTTGTGGTAATCGATTAATTACCTTTTCAAACTCCATATCTATAAATACATTCTTTGAAACCAAAAACAAAAAAACACACACCATTTACTTACATTACATACACACCTACCTTTGTGATTTTTTCGAAGGCTGAATGTTCATATGGCGAAGTTTGCTAGTTGCTTTCATCCTGCTAATATATGTTTCTCGCAGCATTATGCGCGTAATTAGTATTCTTGTTTTTTCCGTCTCAAAAAAATAATTTCACTACAATTTTTGTAACCAGTGGAATTAATACTATAATACTGTAACTAGTTTCAATACCAACAAACTCCATTTTCTTAACTGTAATCTCTTTTGTCGTACGTTAATATTGTGGCAACTACTAATAATCGTGCACATACTACCATTGAATTAATTAATTCTATACTTGCCCCCGTGGCTGCGTTTGCCGGAAAAATGGTACACTGGCGCTATGCCACCGGTGAATGCTTACAATGATCCAACCATGACCATACTTGCACATCTGGGTTATATATACTTTCTCTTCTAAAAAAAATTATTTTGTTTATTGTACTAAAATAGTATTACCTATGTCCCAAAAAAAATAATATAATTTTAAAAATGTGAATCTTAAAATTCGACTTATGAGATTGGTATAAACAAAATAGGGGTACATATCAGTCACTATTTTTTCACTATATATTTTCAATACACATATCATTTTCCAACCTAAATTTTTTAATTTTTTATAAATGGTCATAAAAATAGTCATAAAAATTTATTTGATTTTTTTTATTTTTTAATTTAAAATATTAAGTTATCTAATTTTTATATTTTAGTTTTTAAACTAGACTATTTTTCTGGTACAAAAGTAGGATTAAAGTAATTTGTGTTTGTTTATCTCGGCTGACCCATTGAAACTTGTCCAATACGTTTATCTTTAAAATGTTGATAAAACTACTCATATTTTATGCTATTATTCTTTCGAGTAGTGATATCCCTTTTACCCTATTAAAGCAGAATACAAGATGTTGATGTGGCAATTTCTTATTAAAAATTTTTGGCTCCAAATGCACCATATTGCATTAACCATTCTGCCACGTGTCATCCCTTTTTAAAAGAAAAAAAATTCTTATCTGGAGAAACAAAAACTACTTTACAAAAATAGCTACACAATTTTAATTCCTAACATTTATCATTTATCAATCAAATTAAAATAATATTTAAATTTACCCATAAACTTATCCCATTTATTACTCCACATTCTTTTGTATGATTTCTGCATCGTTGTACTTTTCAATATTTTTTTTCTTTTGGCAGATGATTTTTTATTTTTATTTTTATTTTTGACTAAAAAGGAAAAAAAAACCAAATGTGTAGTTATTTTATTTTTTTCAAATCAAGAATTTATTTATCTATTAACACAAAATTAAAGCAGAAGGGCGCTCGGGCATCTACCTGGGCCAAACATCTAGTATGTAATTAAGGAAATTTTGGCAAATTTTTTTATAAGGAATGAGGTGGATGAATCTTATTTATTTACTAGTTTAACCTTTAAATGCATAAACGTAGCCCAAAAGAAAAGTAGTTATAATTTCCATGCATATACCCATTTATGTTATTTATTTATTCTAATTTTTTTTATCCCGCCTTCCATTATGGTATGGTGGGGAGGGAGATTTTAGTCGTCCTAATCGGGATTATTTTTTTCATCATTCAACACTTAATTAATTTTTTATAAATGAACCTGCTATTTTCAACCATAAATAAGTATACAAAGACTTTGGAGCAAATGGATATCTGGTTAGTTACTCACCCTGTATAATCCTCAAATCAAATCAAGTGAAGATAGTGCTGTTTGAATAATCTTGAAAATCAAATGATTCGGAATAAACCAAAGAAAGGTAGCTTGGTCAACTTTCAATTAACTAGTTACTTCTTTTGCATATTGTGAGGTGTCTACCGTTGTCAACAAGTTGCTTCTAGTGTTATGTTAAAATATTTGAATGGGTTGAAGTCCCTGAGTTGAAATATTTGCTTTTAAGTGCGGTAAAAGATGCAAAATGCTTAACATATCACAAAAAAAAAGGTAATAATTAACCCCGCATCGATCAGGAAAAAGAAAAATAAATTAATAAAGGAAGTGTCATGTGTCGTTATCAAATTTGGGGAGGTGAAAAGGTGCGAGCATGTGTATTTTTCAAGTGCTAAATGTGGAATTACAAACTACACATTAGTAAGGTAGTTTAGTTAAATTAGGTAAGTTGATAGGCAGCATTGATGTAAAGTTTCATTAACAATAAGAAAAAGGAGAGAAAGGATGACGGATTTACTGCGTAAAGCACATCTATCCGGGAAAGGGTCAAAGAGTTCTTATATAATAAAATCCAATAAATAAATAAGAAAGTAGGAATTTATCTTAACATAAAATCTCGAAATCAAATAGCAAGACGAACAAAATGTGCGGCAAAAGATACTTGGCATTGCTCTTGAGATTAATTTTGAACAGTAAAACTTCTATCAATTAAGTAATTAGTTTGCCACTTAAAGTTGTAGTTTAATTTCACCATCAGACACTTGAAAGCGATGCGTTGAAAAGTTTGCTGAATATAACAAAAAAATATGGCAAAAAAAGAGACAAGTTTGGATAGAGTACGGTCTATTATTATAAGCGATGAGCAATACGTTGACTAAAGTGAAATTTTAATTCAAGAATTTCACTTAGTCGCACCCTATCACTTCTAGGACCACAAATTGCGGTAATTTGCTCGCCAAAATTTGACTGGAGAAATATATATATATATATATATATATACACACACACACACATAATGATATATATGTACATTAAATGGTGCAAAATGTGTATAAAATGGTGTCAATATCTCTTCTTATACCTTCATTATAATAAGTAAGTCTTTTTTTCTTTGAAATATTCCATTGTAGTTCAAGAGGGTTCAAATGGCAATGGAGTCTTTGCTCAATGGTTCCTTCACAAAACCTTGTTTTTCAATCTCACATCCTGCTTCACCTGGATCTTGGTACTCGTCTTCAGGTTAGTTTTAATAAGCGTAAATAATTAAGTTCTTGTTGCTTCTTTTTAATTATGTTTGTTCAGAATTAAACAACTATAGATAAAAATTAATCTCATATTTCGGATAATGATCGTGTTAGCTAGCTTATGTTGGGCACAATTTTTCCTCACAATATGTATCTTTAATTTGTATCGTGTCCTAATGGGAGTGTTTTTTTTTTTTTTTTTGAAGAAGAGATTTCTGCATCATTAAGTATTACAAACTGTAACCTCTAGCGCAAGTAAGGTTGAGTTAAAGAAACCACTCGAATTTTTCCTTCATGTTTTAATTTGAATTTTTCTTGGGTCAAACTTGTTTCCATGAGATTATTAAATTAAGAATTTATCCAAAAAAAAGAAGACATTATTATATGAAATTATCCGTATTAATGAAAAACAAAATATATTTTTGAAAGAACATAAAATCGGGTCAATTATAACTCTCTTGAATTATTCTAGGAGAGCATGCTTTGAAATGCAAAGAATGGAACAAGGTTCAGAAGCAACCATTAAAGCTTATGAACTCTGAAAGGAAGAAGCATCCGCGCATGGATTACCAACATTTTGGTTCCAGAAACAGTGGATTTGTTGCTCTTTCTCGCAAGGGAAGTGATCATTATTTGGTGAATGAGGCTTCTGAAGACCATTCGGAACCTAAGCCTTCAATTAGGAGCCCATTGGAAACATTTCTAAGGCATTTAGATGCTTTCTATCGATTTTCACGACTTTTCGCATACATTGGAGGAGTGAGTTTCGAAAAATATATATCCGTCTCACCAAAAAGATTTACTCATTATATTATCGAATTGTTTTATATAGTTGAACATACATTCTAAAGTTTTAACTAAGATTAAAATTTGAAAATGGTCTTTTATATTGGTCAAATACACATTTTGGTCCTTTACATTAATATTTGGCTAAAATAGTTCTTTATATTTTTGTTTCTAACTTTTTTTGTCCTTTGACACTATTCTAACATGTTAACCATTTTGAGTTCAAGTCAACAAGGGTATTTTTAGAATTTTTTTTAAAAAGTTAATATTGAATAAAATGTTAATATAAATATTAAAATAATTATATTTATAAAAATAACTAAGAATTAAAATAATATTAAATTGATGAAAATTTCATAAAATTTAATTTTTTATACTAAAAAAATATTTAAAAACTGTAACTTCTTTGCACAAATTTTAACTTATTTTTAATTTGGTGGGTTTGAGATAAAGTAAAAATATTACTTTAATGACAATGTCTAAAATACAAAATAATTAAATTATTCTAATCTAATTTTTTATTTTTTATTTTTTTAAATTTATGAAATAGTAGGGAATTATATTTAAAATTTAGATTCTTAAAAAAAAAATCATTTCGAGTTTCTTCATTTTTTTACTTGTCTTAATTACAGACTAAAAAGTTTACAATCGAATAGATATTATTGATATATATGATTGTAATTATGGAAGTTTTGCTGTATCAAGTAAAGTCATAACGTAAATATTAAAAATAATATTTAAATGAATAGAAATAACTCAAAATAGAAAAAAATAATGAAATATTTTTTTTTCCCAAAATTCAAAAAACTTGTGTAGTTTTTTTTTTTTTAAGTCTAAATTCTGAAATTCTTTACAATTGCACAAGATTTAGAATAATTTTTGGTAAAGTATTAGAGAAAACACTAAACTATGAATTTTTTTTACCATTCAAAAAGGAATCTTTTTTAAAAAAAATCACAAAAATTTTTGGATTTTTTTAAAAAACTAATATTTGAATAATTTTGGTATTCTTAATTATATGGTTAATAATTAATTGAGAACTCGATTTGGAGGGCTAAATAATAGGTGTCTAGGATTTTATTATAATCGATAATATATAGGATGAAAATTCCACACTGATGGGCTTGGATTTAAAAGAAGTTGCTGAAAACTTTATTGAAAAATAATATTTAGTCTTTCAAAAATATTTTTTTACTAATTTAATATTATTTTATTATTTTTGAATTTTGAATTTTTACTGTTTTAATGTTATTTTATCCAATATTAATTTTTCTAAAAAATTATTCTAAAAATACTCCTGTTGACTTGAACTCAAAATCGTCAAACTCCTTGAATAGTGTCAAAGGATTAAAAAAGTTAGAAACAAAAATATAAAGGATCATTTTAGCTAAATGTTAATGTGCAGGACTAAAATGTGTAATTTGACCTAATGTAAAGGATCATTTTCAGAATTTAATCTTAACTAATAAATGAATGAAAGAATGTAGTATATACTCCTTGATTTTCTAGAAAATAAGTACTCTATTTTACAAAACTAAAATAGTATGTACTATCTTTTGGATACAGACTATTATTTTTTCCGTCTCAAAATGATGGATGTTTACGTCGTGCTAACAAGTAGTAAAGTGTTTAAACCACCATTTCTGGAGATTGTGGAGACAATTTGAGAATTTGAGCTAACGTATTTACATTGGCAGGTATTAAGCACAATATCATTTTCCCTTCTAGCTGTGGAGAAAATCTCAGATGTTTCTCCCTTGTTTGTTACTGGGGTGGCTCAGGTTTCTTCGAAAACCTGCATAACTCTTGATTTTTGTAAAGCTTGACAGGGTACAACATTATCTTCTGTTTCCTCTTTTTGCTGAGCCAAATTAATTTGCGAGTTTCAGGCTCTTGCTGCTGGTTTCTTAATGCATATATATAATAATGGCGTGAATCAATTGGCAGACATCGAAATTGACAAGGTATTTAAGCATATATCGGAACATAAATTTTAGATCCTCTCTTTTTTATGGTTATTGTTATCAAAATTACCCCTTTCATCTCCCATAAAAAAGAGTTTCATTTTGTATAATCAAAACAATATAATAATCATAACTTTTTTTTAAAACTGATAAACCACAGTATTAATTAATTCTCCTAGCATTCTTCTTTTTTTTTTTTTTGGATATAGCTCTGAAATGTATTGATCTACCAGAACATGATGTTAGCCAATTTGGGGTCTATAATAATAATAATAATAATAATAATAATAATAATAATAATAATAGTATTATTATTATTATTAATGCTCCCCTTTGGGTGGGTTGCTTGTTGAATTTTGCTCTTCTTCTTATATTTTTGTTTTGTTCTTCTATGCTAGTTGTATTTTTTTGAGAATCATATTTGTGAAGTTCTTTTTTCAATTTTTTCCTCAGGTTAATAAACCTTATCTTCCACTGGCATCTGGTGACTTTACAATCGAGGGTGGCGTGATACTAACTTTATCTTCTTTAATAATGGTATTGACTTTGGTTTAGTTTACTAATGATTGAGGCATACATATATGAGAGAAGAAAACTGTAGATGGACGGGAATATTAATTGGTCAAAGTTCAAAATAATAATAATAATAATAATAATAATAATAATAATAGTATTATAATTGGTCAAAGTTCTTACCATATGGTCCCAAAATTAGCTCACTAAATCGTATATTTTTAATGTGATATATTGACCAATGATGATCACTTGGAAGTTGACTAGTGGATGGAAATTGTGATCATCATTTACGAATAATTTTTATTAGACTAGTTAAGTTCAAGATTTGTTTTTGTTTACTGCAATTTCCGCAACATGAATAATAATCAAATTTTAGAAATTAAAATTCTAAAAATTAGATATATATATATATATGTGTATATAATCTTAAAATGATGATAACTCAATCCAATATAAAATTCAATTTAAAATAATTAACCATCCAAAATTTCAAATTATAGATTTAGCTTCTAAATTTAATTACAAAAATAATTTTTTTTTGAATATTTTACGGTAATACTGGTACTGAGTAACTTGTTTGTTTGTTTGTTCCTCTTACAGGCTTGTTGGCTTGGATGGACTGTTGGGTCTTGGCCATTAAATTGCTTAATTTTACTTCTTTTTCTGTCTTCAACAGTATATTCAGTCGATGTGAGTTGCAGTCTTAGTCTGCAATTTTGCATTAAAATGATAATCATATTTATTGTAATAAAATAAGACAGAATTATAATATAAACTTAATTTAAAACGGAATGAGAACTAAAATATCACTTTCTAGAGTTTCTAGATTTTATTTACTTATTTATTATTATTATTTTTTTCGGTTTTGTTGCCAATACAGGTACCTTTATTGAGATGGAAGAAAAATGCGTATCTTGCAGCACTTTGCATCTTCACTATGATAGTACCCCCAGGGTTGACCGTTTATATGCACATTCAGGTATTGTATTGTTATCCTTTTTCTAAAAGTAACACCATTTGTTTCAAGGAATGGAACACAACGTTGATTCTATTTGAAAATTTTTTAACTTGTAATAAATTACGTTCCCGGTGCTTGAATTAATCGTTGTCATAATTCATCTGAATTTGAACTGCGTTAAAATCTTTAACTTTGTTCATTATATAATCGCTTAGCTTAACGTTGCAGACTTTTGTGCTTGGACGACCTGCTGCTTTCCCAAAGCGTATACTCATTGCGGCAATTCTCAACACCTTATTCTCATTTGTAGTTGCACTTTTGAAGGTAATTAAATTTAGGGTTAATTCTTTATGAAATTAGTGGACTGGTGAGATTTATGTTTAGTGGATAGAATATCCTGTGATACTTTTCAAACTCAACTCTGTTCGAGATTTCTCATAGTTTAACATTTGTGTTTACATCATTCACGATAGCAATAAATATCAAGCAAATAAATATTTTATTCTGCTATTTATTATTGTATAAAGTGTAATAACTTTTAAGGCTACATTGTATAGTACACTGTTTTAGGGTCAATTATAATTGATGTGAGTTTATGATGACACATTAGTTATATTATTTCATTACACTTTTACCGCACAAAGCAATGTAAGGAAAATTGACATTATACTCAAAATAGTATAAATAATTTTGGATGCTTTTAAGCCGACTAATATGATGAATGAATCTTTATGAGTAAATAATTGGAAAAATATCAAGTATTTAATAAAGTGTTAACATTCTTTGCTACATTTACCTTGTTTCTTCGCTTATGTTGGATGCATTAAAGATTATACGGTTAAGGTTAAAGCTTGATTTTTGCAGGACATTCCTGACGTTGAAGGAGACAGATTACACGGGGTCAAATCATTTGCAGTTAGATTTGGTGGAAATAAGGTACATTAATAACTTAAATTAATATTATTAATTAGTGGGCATCTCGTATATCTCCCCCTCTTTTTAAACCTTCAAATAACACTAATATGATTATTTGAAGGTGTTTTGGGTTTGCATTGCACTTTTGCAAATTGGTTATGCTGTGGCTATTTTGGCTGGATTGACATCTTCCTATAATTGGAGCAAACTTCTAACAGTGAGGCTCTCTTCTACCATCTTTTTCTTGGCACTACTTCTTCTTAATCCACTTCACAAAAATGATGGTGAGGGAACAAAACAAGGGGAAAAAGTGATTTGTTTAAGGGCAAAGCTTAATTACTTGCCAAACCAAATCAAATTGAGATTGGTTCAAACATGTCTTATTAAAATTACCTCATTGGTCAGTGTCTCTCAGTATATTTTTCTTTCCAAGAATATCTAATAAGTTATTAATTACCCTTGAAAACATAATCTACACCCTGTTAAATTTTTTTTTTAAAAAAAGTTATTTATTTTGGGTTTATTGCGGTATTTGTTTATGTTCAGGTTGGTAGTCACACGTTTCTGGCTTTGAAGCTTTGGAGGCGTTCCAAAGCTATTGATACGGGAAACAACGAAGAAATAACATCTTTCTACGTATTTGTTTGGCGGGTAAATCAATTACGCCTTTAGAAAAACTTAAATATGAAACTAAATTTTACTACTATTTGTTTCTATTTCAAAATAATTATATATCTTGTTTATCATATTAAAAATAGTGTCATATATTAATACAATAATTATTTTAGAACTAGAAGAATATGAAAAAAACATAACTTATTTTTTGACATTTCTTTATGAAATATGTAGCTCATTTCCGCGGAGTACATGCTCCTACCTCTTGTGAGATAAAACATGAAAGGATTAATTGTTGAAGAAGCGCCAGCCGATGTGATGTGACAAGGCCATCCCATAGAAAAAAAGACCATTTCCCCTTCTTTTGTTTCTCTTTTAATAACAGCTACTTTCTTCATCCCAAATCTATTGTCCGATTTGAAATTTCATTTTTAGTATAAATTGAATTAAAAAAGAAATTTCAAACTAGACAATAATTTTGGGACAAAGAAAATATAATATTCACAGTGCAAAACTCGTTGGCAATTGTATTAATGTATGATTATTGCTTAGTAATTTTTTTCCCCCTAAAGTTTCAAATTTTGGGTACAAACAAAGGAGTGTGGAGTAGATTGCAAACTTGCAAATTTTATATTATTAGGGTCCAATTTTCGTACAAGATTGCAAAATGGAGTGAAGGATGTCTAGATTTCGATTCTAGGCTCGTGGCCTCTACTCACTTTAACCCATTGTTAATTAATTTTTCTGCCTAGGAATCATATATCTGAATTGCAGATTAGCATTTTCATTCGACATATAAAATCTTTGCTTCGAATTCATTTCATTGCAAATTAAGTTGAATTATCTTTTCTTAATTCTGATGATTTTCCCCCTTATTGCAACACAGATTTTGTTTTAATTAGGATGCTAATTAAATTTGCTGTTCCAAGTATTTTAATCACTTGTCTTTCTTGAATTAGTCTTTAGACTTAGCTATAACCCAAGAGTTTTGCTTATTGCTGCCAAGAAGATTTCGGGTTTTTCTTTTTAATTAATTCAAGAACGTTAAAAAGTTTAACTGTTGACTAGTTAAATTGTGTTGTGTATATCAGAAGCTGAAAAAAAGAATGTTGATAATTTTCAGCTACTTTTTTTATGCATATGTATACTATGTTCATGTTGGAATCCATTGACAAGCATATAAATTGACAAGATAATAGAGCGTGTTGTGAATTTGCTTCGCTTTAAGATCAATTCGCTTCGATATAATAGTATTATCAAGTTTTAGGCATAATTAGTTAATTTTTTGATCAATTTAGATTACATTATCTACTTTCTCTTAGGTGTGTTTTTCATTGATTCAAAATAGCCTAATTTTTTGATCAATTTAGATTACATCATCTACATTCTCTTAGGTGTGTTTTTCATTGATTCAAAATAGCCAGGCCAGATGGTTTAAGTCACTTTTTTTGGAAAACAAAAAAGAAAAACCAATGAATCCATAAATATATTTTCAGTAATAAGTAAAATAAATTAGTGATGCATGAATTCACATTATTTAACGGGGTTGTCTACTCCTTCTGTCTGAATTATCACATAAAAAACTCTTGATTAACGGATACCTTTTTTTAATGGTAAAAGAATAACACAATATTGGAGTTGAAATGTGAAAACTCATTGTAACAACTAGTAAATAAATGTCATAGTTAATGTCTTGATGCATGGCCCTCAGTGCATTTTGTTCTAGATCCGCTATTGTCGGCTTGGATGGACTATTGGCTCTTGGCCATTAAATTGTTACATTCTACTTCTTTTTGTCTAATTGTGTCTGCTACTTCATATTCCCTCGACGTGAGTTCCCTCAATATTCGCAACCACGATTGCTTTAGGATTAGATTTTAATTATAAAAGACACCGAGTGCATATAGCATGCTGAAAGAAAAAAAAGTAAAATCATGTCTAAAATAGAATAAAATCTGTTAATTCTCATTGATATATGATCCTCTATGTCACTTTTTTATGACACTTACTGTAATATAATCTAATTGGTTTTTATAAATTATATAATTTGTACTAATACATATACGGAAGAGAAGAGCCAGTTTTTTTGCCTTAGTTTACCATTCAGCACGGCATTAAAAAGAGCCATTTTCCCTTTGAGTTTCCGTATAATAATGGTGTTCATAGTTCGAGTTATGGGGGCAGTAAAATGTACTATTAATAAGATTTGGAACTCTCGATTTCAACATAGATCCACGTCGAATATGGGTTTTGTTATGTCTTAGGTTTACAGGCTGGCAACCCGGAGGCATCACGTTTGTTTGTCTGCGTTTCTTAGGTCGGAGATCCAACATAGATTCGTTTTCTCATGTAACTTTTGAAGCAATGTACTAGGTTTTTTTAACCTATTCGCTCTTCTCTTTTTAATAATTATGACAAGTTTTACAAGTAATTAAAGAATGAGCATAGATGACGCTAGGTTGAGGAGAGGTCGGTGGTCGGTTGTTTTCATGTATGGGATGATCGATGGTAAATGATCAATCCAGATCCTCCGATTTGCATTGAAGTTCATTCATCTTTACAGAAGATAAATATCATCACAAGCAATTGTAATTTGTATGATTGGCCTTCAAGTAAAATGACCCTGGACTGATGAATTGCCAAATCATGACTCTCAGCGAATTATCCGTCTCACTTATAAATTTTGTATACAATTTCATTTGTTTTTTTTTTTCTTCAAAAAATTATATTTCCAAATCTTACAAAATAGTCTATACTGTGTTTTAAATTTTATATTAAAAATAATAAAAATCAAAACTCAAGACTCACTGTGAAGTTCTTTTTGAGATTGATGAAACATATTTCGATTGAGATCAAATGTTCATATTTAGTAAAAAAACGGTTGAAGAAAATTATTATTAGCGGTAAAACATAATGAATATTTCCCCATCTTGCACCTATGCTTGTCAGCTCATTTCATCATGGTTTACGGGCTATTGCACCGTAGGGTGATTTCATTATGTTCAAAGAGAACGCTAAGTATTTCTTGTTCTGACATTTGATGTCACTCACCTCATGGCTTGAGATTCTGAGCCAGTGAGTGATATTTTGGGCGGTCAATTACAATTTAAAAATCTTAACTATCAAACAAACATTGTAGTTCATTTTACGCTCTGTATGATCAGGTAGAGACAGCAATTTAATAATCGTAATTATCATTTTGACCTTTTCTTTTCTTCCTCTTCAATCCTTTATATATAACTCTGGATTGCAAACCTAGCGATCAAATCCTAATTACAATTTATACATATGGAGTCTTTGCTCAATTCCTCAACAAAGGCTTCCCGTCAAATTCCATTTCATGGCAAAGCCCTTTCTCCTTCTTCTTCAGACAAGTTTTACACATTATCTTCTCCTTTTTCTTCAGGCAAGTTAGTTTTATGCGGTAATAAATGATCTATTCTGGATCTGGATGCTAGCTTTTTCTCTGTTCTTTATCATTTTCATCTCCAGCCTTTCTGAAATTCGGGCTTTTAGGGTTAATCTTTATCAACTCGACAGTTGACACTTCAGAAATTGTAGTACTCACTCCCGTCCTTATTATAAGGAATTTTGATTTTATTTTAGGTTTAACTTAGAATGTCTTTTTAATTGGAAAAAAAACCTTAAAAATATTTTTTCACATTTATTGTGTTCTACTAATTATTATGAAATATTTTTAAGGGTGTTTTATCAATTAAAAAGACTTTCTAGGTGAAATTTAGGACGAACTCAAAATGCCTTATAATAAGGAGCGAAGGAGGGAGTACTTAATGGGTTATTTTCTATTCTATTTTTGTACTTTTGTTTTTTTTTTTTTTGTTAAAATGTATACTTTGGTTATTTTCAATGAATCATTCTCTTATGTGAAAGAAAAATTTCTAGTTAACTGTTTCTTCTCGATCTTAACAACCAACAAAATTCAAGATTGGACCAATGAACAAATAAGACAAAACAATGGAAAAGCTAGTCAATTTGACCCAAGTTCGACCCAGTCATGTTCCACGACGATATTAGTTGCACATTTGAATTAGGTATATGATTTTTAGTTTATTTCTAAGGTTGTTTGTAGATCAAGTTTTCTATTCCGGGTAGATTGAAGAAATATTTATTCTTATTATGTGTTATTTATTTATTTATTTTTATTATTCTTAAAAATTTGGTATCAAGAATTGAACTTTCCGATAATAATTATTCCTATCCTAAACATTTAACCATTCTATCTTTATTTTTTTTATTTTTTTTAACAAAGAAGAAGAAGTTAATTTTGTTACTCTTGATTTCGATTTGTAGGACGAGCCCAACATGTGAATTGCAAACTATGGAACAACGTAGGAAAAAAACCAAAAATGGCAGAGCCTCTGGTTTCAGGGAGGAAACCTCCCTTAAAATACCGGAATATTGGGTTCGCCGGTACTACAAGATTTGTCACTCATTCGTGGAGAGAAAAGTGATTATTTGGAGAGATCGGCTTCAGAAGACACAAATTCAAAGGGTCCTTTAAAATCAATTTTAAGGACATTAGACGTTTTATATAGATTATCGTGATTCTACACATTCATGGGATACGTGAGTTTTACATTTTTAATATATTTTTTCACATTTTTAATTAAAAAACGTAAATATCTATACTGGAAAAAAAAACGAAGTAAATATACCCTTAGTTAGCATCAAAAGATCTTACTGCACTTAGTGACTTTATTAATACTCTCTACTTTATTATTAATTTGATAAAGTGAATCATATTTCTGACAATTTATCCGAGATTCATTTTTTTTTCTTCTTTTGCCTTTTTTTTTTTTTTTTTTGGTTTGCAGGCATCGAGTATCATTTCGGTTTCACTAATTGCGGTGGAGAAGCTTTCGGATATTTCTCCATTGTTTTTCATTAGGATGTTTGAGGTTTGTTTTGGAAAAATTGACAACTTACTTGAAGTTTAGTCGCAGATGACTTTAGAAACTGGAAGTTAAAAATGTCGATTGATATTTTCAGGCTATTCTAGCTGCGTTCTTGATCCATGTAAACTACAGTGGGTTAAATCAATTGACAGACATAGAAATTGACAAGGTAACGGAAATCTTATTGCTTATCATATATGTTTTTAGATCAGTTGTTTATTTGTTTGTTTAATTTCTAGGTGAATAAGCCTTACCTTCCACTGGCATCGGGAGAATATTCAATCAAGACGGCTGTGACAATCATTTTATTTTCTGGAATCCGGGTATGTATAATCTGGCATTGACTATTTTTTTATGGTCTTTTTGACGTGTATTGTTTTCTTAACAACAAAATTTGTTTCTTGTCAATGTTATTTGACAAAGTACAACATGGGTCATAACCGAGTGGCAAGTTTTTTAATGCTCTGAAAAATTCGTGGGGACAAATACCAAATTTCAAATGAGATTGGCTTAATTTCATAAAGGATGATATTTTGTAAAATAATTAAAAAAAAAAAGAAAAAAGAAAAATTGATCACAAGAAAAAGAGATGTACTACTTCCTTTTTCCTATATAAGCAATGACACAGCTAGTAAAAAAAAACTTCTTAGTTCTTACACAGATTAATGAACGCTGTGCAAATTGAGATCCACAGATATAACATCAGTTTGCGATTGTGGAACTAAACTTTGTGGTAATTTCCTCTTCACAGGGTTTTTGGATCTCATGGAATGTCGGATCTTGGCCACTATTTTGGGCTCTTTTTGGCATGTTTTTCTTTGGAACTGTTTATTCTATCGATGTGAGTTGCTTTTCAAACCATGACGTTAATTTTAAATGCTTTAGTATTTATCATGCTAGGGGAGATGAATAACCGATTTCGTTAATATTTTGTCATTTCATCGCATAGTAATAATATAAATGTTAGTAAGCTAACGCACTTGCATCATTTGCAATTGTTCTGATAGTAAATTTTTGGAAGTTTTCTTTTAATGAAGATGTAAATAAATAAATAAATAAAAAAAGACGTTGGGAATTGTTTTTTAAAAAAATTCAGATACAGTACAAACAGAAACCCTAAATTAGGGTTTTTTTTTTCTTAATTACTCTTATTTGTTCAATTCTAATGCAGTTGCCCTATATGAGATGGAAGAACAATGGCTTTCTGGCTGCACTTTGTCTTCTTGCCATGCGAGTGCCTCCACAATTAGCCTTTTACTGGCACATGCAGGTTGTATTTCTTATTGTATATAATTATATTCCCCCATCTCTAAACTAGCATTATTATCTTTTTAATTACTTTAGTATTACATGTTACAGAGGGCCGCATACTTTTAGTATCCTTTTTCTTATATCATATCTATTTAAAAATAGTAGTAGTTCATATTTGCCTCATCACTTTGATGATGATTACTTAGCCTAATGTTTGCAGAGTTTTGTGTTGGGGAGACCGGCCATCTTTCCGAAATCTTTAATGTTTGCAACAGTGTTCATGTCCTTATTCATTGTTATAACAGCACTTTTTAAGGTATGTCTTTTTCCAAAGTAATTTTGGTTTGTTTAATTCTCGCTAGAAGAAACAATAGTAAAAGATTCTCATCTTAGTCTGATGGGCAACAAAGTTGTCAAATGCTTTTTTAAAAAAAATAAAATAAAAATCCGTACAATAAAATAAGTGAAATCTGATTTACAAAGATCAAGCACACACTAGGAGAATAAAAATACCAACCACATCATATTTTAATCAATATTTAAGCTCAACAGATAAATTAAGAAGACAATAAAAACTTGTTGGGTTCGTAGAAGATACAACTCTATATGTCGAGTAGTCTGTTATTAAATTAAACTGGAAAAACATGATTTAAAACCGTGTTTGGAAGCTCCATATATACATACCCTAATTAGACCATCAAGACTCCTCACATCTTCCTCCGCACCTTGCATCATAGCCACACTTCATAATTAAATTAAATCATCTTAGACTTAGTTGTGAGAAGAGAACAACAACTACTACCTCCTTCTCAAAATTGAATTTACAAATTTGTACTAAAACCAGTACAAAACTCAAAATTTAATGTAGATTATTTTTTTTGGGACGGAAGAAGTACTATTTATCTCTTGCAACTTAACCTTTCCAAAGATGAATTGTTGATTGCTACTCAGAAACCATGCAAATGTGAAAACTAGTCATCTACAAATTTAGAAAATGAGCACAAATAAGAAAACTCGTTCCAAACTCCAAAGTCCAAACAGTCCAACAATTGTTCCGATGGAGTGGTGCATTTTGCTCGTTCGCTACAAGCTTGTCTACTTTCTTGTTTCTACAAATAATAATTAAAAAAAATTATTTTCCGAAGTTAAAGCTTGATATTTTCAGGACATTCATGATGTTCCGGGGGACAAACTACATGGTGTTCAATCTATTGCGATCTGGTTAGGCCCGGATAAGGTTAACTATTTAATTTTATCAAAACTATATGCTTTTTCACTTTTTTTTGTCTTTTTTTTTTCAATTCTATGTTTTTTTCATTCTCTTTTATACTTAAGAAAATAAAAACTATTCTTGCAGGTGTTCTGGACTTGTATTGGACTTTTTCAAATCGCTTATCTTATTGCTATTTTAGTTGGGTTGACATGTTCAAGTAATTGGAGCAAATTCATAATGGTAACACTCTCTTCTTACAATTTTTTTTCCCCTACATCATTGTGGAATAGTTCTAAGAATTTAATAGGAGAAATGCGTATGTATGTTTTGATAGTTTATGATGAATGAGGAGTTCCTTTTAAAATCGTATATATGTATAAACCTTTTTCCTAAGGATATCAACTTTTACAACCATTTTCGTTTTCTTTTAACATGAACAATGTTCTAGGTAAAGAGGTCAATTTTATTTCCACGTAGAACGTAGATAAATATAAAGAGTAACGATATTTTTCTCTACAAATATAACTTTACTCATAACTCTACTTACATGTCTATCTATTTGGCATTCCAAATCATCTCACTAATTATTATTTTTTCCATTCATTAAAAGAAAATTAGAAGAAATTTTATCCATTTCTTTCGGTTCTTTTCTTGTTGTCCCTTTCACAATTCGCAAGCAGAGAATCCCCCTTTCTCAAAATTCTGAGAATCACTATCACAGTTCTCAGCGGCAAAAAAATTAATTAATTGAAGCCATGCCTAATAAACTTGTGCTCATGTTGCCATTGTTGGGATTCTTGCATATGTTTTCATATATTTTGATTCTGAATCAAATCTGCTATTGTTGGGATTCTCTGTCCAATCTCCTATCTCCATATTAGTAATTAACTAATCTATTGCGCAAAATTTATCAGGAACCACAAAAGCTAAAACTTCAAAAATTAACCTAATTAAAATTTGGCAAGATTGTGTGAGGTAGATATTGACGAAGAATGGTTTTCAATTGGTGAAGGAACCTGATTTTTTGTGTCTTCTTTTTGTTTGAGGGTTATGCTACACACTGATAACCGGAGAGGGGGTGGTGGACGGGACTTGAAAGCTTCACTAGAAATTTTATTTTATTTTTCAGTGGAAAGAAAAAAGAATATTTTTCATTTTTTGTAAAATATAAACATAATAATTAAATAGGTGATGTGGAATGCCAAGTAGATATATATGTAAGTAGAGTTATATTTGTAGAGAAGAATATCATTACTCAAATATAAATATAAGTCCCTTGTAAAAAATAAAATGTAGCTAGTCGACTTGTAGAAAATAAAATATATGTTTTTTTTTTCCTTTCTCAACACCTTTATTTTAGCTGGAATTCTTAATACATTTTCTTGTGTCTAGATTGCTGGTCACGTTATTTTGTCTTTCATACTTTGGAATCGTACGAAATTTGTCGACTTGGAACGCAAGGCTACAGTATTATCCTTTTACATGTTCATGTGGAGGGTAAGATCTCTTTCTTATTCATGAAGATTCAAGCCTGTAAATGGCATGAGAAAATTACCGCTAAAATATTCGGCATGTCTCTTTTTTTTTTTAAGTCATTAAAAATATTCTGGCATGTCATCATAGCTTTAAGAAGGAAAGAAAAAAAAATCTCGAAAGAAACTTATTTGGTACGAATTTGAATTAGTAAAATTAATGAGTTCAAACACTGAATACATCATATTATAAAAAAAATAGAAAAAGAGAATTAGTGACCAGGGTTTGGCTGGGAAAATAGTGTTACCACAAAATCGTGAATTCAGTTCTCGTTGGTAACTAAGATATTGTTTGCCATCTTCATTTTTAACTTGGTATGTCACTTCAAACCATTATATATATATATATATATATATATATATATATATATTGGTTTGAAACCATTACCTTCGACAAACATATTTAATGTTCAGATTTTCTTTTCTTTTTGTTTTCCACGAATTGGTATCTTTTTTATTATTTTTATGTTTTTAGATAACCATGACAATAACTGGTACATTCTCCACTTTTTAGTTTTTGCTACTGTATTTCTTCATTTGAATTAACGTATTCTATTTGGTTAACTTAACATCAAATCCGTTGGTAATTTGCAGCTCCTTGATGTTGAGTGCCTCCTCATACCTCTCATTAGGTAAAGTGAAAAAGGTGCAACAGTTGCAGAAACGACTGTGGATGGAAGCCCATTTATTTAATTCTCGTAATTATATTGGTTGTGATCCAAGAAAACAAAGGTTGATTTGTACTTTTGTAACAGATAAATAAGATAACATTACATAGGATTTCCTTTTTGTGTATCACAAGATTTGTCATATTGGTCTTTATTGTAAGGGCACACACTCTCTATTTATTCGCTACGCTACAATTTTTTTTTTTTAAAAAAATTCAGATAGTAAAATAATGATTCTTTCTGTTCCAAAAAAAAAAAAAAGTCTAGTTCAAGAAGTTGACTAATATTCTTGAACGGAAGGGTACAGAGTTGCAACTTCAATTTTTAGTGTTTAAAGTCATGGTGGATCAGAAAAACTGGCACTTCTTCAATAATTTCTTCATGTTACTATCTCACAAGTGGCAGGAGGAAGCACTCAGCGGAAAGGAGCTGCATATTTTCAGAACAAATGTCAAATAATAAAATAATTGAATTACAAAGTGTTTTTTTTTTCTTTCTTTCCTCATTTAAACCTCACAATTTACAGTGAACTTCGCACAATTAATCCGTTTAGTCGAATATATTAAACCCGTAAAAAAAAAAATGAGTTAGCTATAGAGAAAAGAAAAGAAGATTTCCAACTTTTGCCCAATATCATTTTCCTTCTAATTATATTACTATATAATTTACTAGTATATTATTAATCATTTGAGCTTAAAAGGGGTACGTAATTAGTAATTACCTGCCAGACCAAGAGGAAAAAAGATGACATCTCATTTTTGTTTCCTGTATCAATAGATATTGCACGACTCCAGAGCTTCAAAGCCAATACCGTGTGGCTACCTACCTGAACAATTTACAATTTACAACCAATATAAACACCCAAATTACTTTTCTTTTGCCGCATAAAATTGAGTTATTCAAATAATAAATCATTCTAATTCCACAACAGTAATGCTAAGAATTTTGTGGCGATAAATTAAGAAAAGGGTTGGATGAGGGCTCACTGTTATAAGTTTGCTCCAGTTATAGGAAGATGTCAATCCAACTAAAATGGCACCAACATAACCAATTTGTAAAAGTGCAATGCAAGCCCAAAACACCTGAAAATAATCAAATTAGTGTTGTTTGATTAAAAAAAAAAAAACTAACTCCATCTCGTTGTAATAATTAAGAGTCTTGTTTTGTCCAACTGTTTTAGTACATTAAAGCAAACTTTAATTTTTGGGACATTGAAGGGGGTTTATGTTATTAACCTTCTTTTCACCAAATTGAACTGCAAAAGATTGAACACCATGTAACTTGTCTCCTTTCACGTCAGGAATATCCTGCAAGAAACAAAAATAAATATAAATAAATAAATCAAAAACTTTAATATCCCAAATGGAAAATTTATTCATCAAGCAACAATAATAGGTGAATAAATTGAGACAAGAACATCTATATATGCAAGACACATAAAGTCAACCCAATTAATCTCAATGAAAATGATTACAAAAGTCAAAAGACATAAATGGTGCAGAACACTTTCTAAATTACCTCAAGATAAACTACCGTACATACTACCATCGAAACCATTGATTGAATCCGGAATACAGCAAAACTAGTCACAATCTGGGGAAAAATCCCCTGTTGTTGTGAAGACGAAAATCAACATTTAAGATGAAACAAAATAATTTACCTTTGCAAGTGCTATTACGAATGCGAAGAAGGAATAGTGGAATGCAGCAAATATTGTATGCTTCGGAAAAACAGGAGGTCGCCCAAACACAAAAGTCTGCAACAATAAATAAATTAGACTCAATGTTTTATTATAACACTTGAAAAAATGACATTTTATTCCATGAAACAAACCTGTCTAAGCATACACACTCCTTTCTTTAAAAAAAAAAAATCTCATTTTGTTATACTATTAATTAAATATATATAAAGTAAACCGTTATTCCGAAATAAGAGTATAATGTTGCTTGAAAAGAGATCAGAATAGACCTGTATGTGCAAATAACTGGTCAACCCAGAAGGTACTAGCATCGCATACATACAAAGAGCAGCAAGATAAGCATTCTTTTTCCACCTCAAAAGTGGTACCTACATATAACAATCGCGCGAGCGTCATATACTGTTTTAGTTCAACAAAAGAAAAAGGATTATTCACGGAAAGGAGAGAATCATAAGCAACTCACATCAAGTGAATAACCAGTAGCAGCCACAAAAAGGATGAGAATGTAACAACCTAATGGCCAAGAACCAATAGTCCATCCAAGCCAACAAGCCTGTGAGAAAAGAAACAAAAATTAAGTTATACTACTTTTAGAAACCTAAAATCTAAAACAATGCAGAGAGAGTAAATGAGAATCTGAACAAGTTCAAGACGCCTTAATCTGTATACCAATGTTATAAAAGATAGAGTAAGTATCACGCCAGTCTTGATTGAAAATTCTCCGGATGCCAGTGGAAGATAGGGTTTATTAACCTGAAAAACAGTATCATCGTGTACATAATTATAAAAATAAATGGAAAATCTAGGAAATGTTTGACCTGGCCAGAAAAAACATTTTATAATGTTTATATATATAGATGTATATGTATGCTTCTACCTTGTCAATTTCTCTGTCTGCCAATTGGTTCACACCATTATTGTATAAATGCATCAAGAAGCTAGCAGCAACAGCCTGAAACTCAATAACAAGTTTGACTCTTTAGACAAAAACATAAAATTATCGAATCAAAAAGTTATATACTCCTTCTGTCCCAAAATTATTGTCCAGTTTGAGATTTCACTTCTAGTACAATTTGAACTAAAAATGAAAACTCAAACTGGACAATAATTATGGGACGGAGGGAGCATACAAGTATTAAAATATGCAGAAACTGGAACAAAACCTGAGAAACCCCGATGAGAAACAATGGAGAAAAATCTGAGAGTTTATCCACAGCTAGAAGTGAAAATGAAATTACGCTCAATACCTGCTCATGAAATTAATGGAGTCTTTAACTTTAGATACACAGAAATGCGACATTAACAACTAGAATAGATATAATTTAGTTTCCGTCTTAAAACAAGAGTTGTGTTACATGTAACTTACTGTTCCGATGAATGCTTTGGGACGCGAAAAACGCCACAAAGCATCTAAATAATTCCCTTGAAACCTTTCCAATGAACTCTTGATGATCAAAGGCTCATCAGATTCAGAATGGCCATCATCACAAGCCGCATTCACCAAACAGCAATCACTTCCCTTACGAGAAAGAGCAACAAATTTTGTGTTTCTAGAATCAAGATGTTGGTTGCTCATAAGGAGCTTCCTTTGAGAGTTGATAGGCTTTGTTGGTCGTTTCTGAAGCTTGTTGATCCATTGTTTGCATCTCAAAACATTTCCTCCTACTAAATAAAATAAAATGAAGAGGGACATAGAGTAAGTTTTGAGCCATTTATTTCTTTTATTAAGGAAAATGAAGTTTATGCACAAAGTGGCAGGACATGAATTTTTCCTATTTCATCCTTGAAAACAATTTTTTAAGTTTATTATCGAGGAATATGTATTAATCCTTTATATGAAATTGTCCCTCTCCATTTCGAAATTATTGTCCCGAGTATGAAACTTCATCTACAGTACAAAATTATATTAAAAGTGAAAATTTAAATTAGACAACAATTTTGGGAACGAGGGAGTATAAAGCTTATCTCTATTCAAAGTAGTGTTCGAACATATCAAAGGCTCATTATCAAAGTTCTAATCTGTTCTTAGAGTAAAGCATAATCTGAAAAGTAAATTAAGATTAAGCAATACGAAAAGACACAACATACATATAAAGGGGAAAAAAAAAACTTCGAGAAGAGATGTAAAACACTTACCAGAAGAAGGATATTCACATAATACGGTTGTGCCAGGAAATGAGATTGAAAGACAAGGCTTTGTGAAAGAACCAGTGAGCAAAGAGTACTCCATTTATCATAAGATTGTTGAAACAACTCAACGAGTAGATTAAAAACTGTTGTCGACACAATGCCAATGAAAATACTAAAAAAAAAAAATACTCTTTAACGCAATACACTGTACTTATGTAAAAAAGAATAATTCCATTATTATAGAGTAATCGGATCTCTTGAAATGAAGAATAATCTTGATATCCATAAGGGGGAGGGAGGATTAAAGAACTAACTCCACGAAATCAATATATATATAATAGGAAGAAAATCTCAATATCCAAATAGAAGAGATTTTATTTGGTGTGATTACCTACAGTGGCTAGGTGATTCCGTATTAGCTTGAGGTTATTGATAACATTTAATATTGATTTTAATTAAGTTGATGATACTTAAAATTTGTGGGTTTCAGTTAGTTGATACTAAATCGGAAAAGATTCCATGCAATATCCGTAGCTACTGAGAGTTATAGCCAAATGGCAAACACATGGATTTTTCCCCTTTTTTCTTGTTCCCCCAATGAGAAAGACATATGGCTAGCTCATATATTCAATTATTACATAAAATATTGCACACAAAATCACCGGCCGGTGTAAAGCTGATGTTCTAGGCTTCTAGCCGTGTTAAATTCTTAGTCTCAGTTGTTTCTCTAGACACAGAAATTCAACGAAATAATTAGTCAATGTGTATTCGTCGGCTCCTCCTTATCATTTTCACATGTCGACGATATTTGTTGCACATTAGATTACCTCTGCAGCTCGGCCGCATATCCTGAATGACACTTTAAAACAAACCACTAATTAATTAATATGGACCATATTTTTCGAAAGTTGTCAAATATCAAAGTTCAAAAGTGGTAGCCTGTATCGTCCATTCACAAACACCCAAACTAGCTAATGTTGGTTCACTTTTGTGCTCGGTCCATAAAATAATATTTGATGTGTAATTTAATGTAATTTTGTCAATTTATGAAAAGTGAATACATGCATGTCATTTACAATTATAACAAACACTTCAAATGACATGCATATAAATGTTTTTTTGTTTTCTTTTTTTTTTTTTTGGGGGGTGGTGGGACGGATTTGTAACCCATCTTGTCTCGCAAAGAAGAATGGTTCTTTAAGTAGTAAAAAGACTAGAGCTGAAAACAAAGTAGCATTTCTTCATGGAATCGTCTCTAAAACTTTAATTCGGCGTTCAATGTTTTAATCAATTGCTAATTGGTTAAGTTATATTAGAACGATGTTTAATTCAATAAAAATATTCTGTCAAACAAAATAAGGATTGAGCTAATTAATGTATAGATCATATACCTACGTAGATAATGATATATACATGGAAAATTTCAAATTCATTCATTTTTTATACTTTCTATGAGTTGTATGCATTTAATGTTATGCAGATAGTTTATTCGATTTATACATCACTTATTGTAAGTTTTTCCTATAACTTTTTTTTTACATGTATCGCTATTCACGTAGAAAATATCAAACTATCTCCAAATTAATACTAACTATAATTATGAACAAGTCCTCCTATTACAAAAAAAAAATAAAAAATAAAAAGCGCAAACTTTCCAAAAGAAAAAAGAAACATTATCACATTCCTGCAAAATTTTGGCTCATAATGAATTTAAAATTTTGAAATAATTTATTACCATTATGAGTATTAAATGTGTTATTACTTTACATAATTTTTACTTCGGTTATGAGATTAATTCCCATAAGTTTAGTTATTTTAAATGAAACTAATTAATTGACTAATTAATTATTAATAAGTAGTAAATTATATCTCTAAAATCTCTCCAATTAAATTAGGGATTCAAATTTGAAATTGTATTAAAAAAAAAAATAATGGATACCTGGGGATTTGGTATCAATCAAATTTTAAAATCAAACAATTAATAAAATAAACCTATCCAACCTAAAAAATATCTGTAATATCTATGGAAAATGATACTCGTATTGAAATAATATAGTCAGAAAATATAGTAACTGATGTGTATCCCCTATTTTATTGCCACTTTGCCCTTGAAAATTTTTCTTTCCTCCCAAAATTACCTTTTTTATCTTTAATTACTATTGACACATTAGGCACTATGTATTTTCACTATTTTTTCTCACTATGTATATCATTGTTCAATATCTATAATGTTATACTAAGATAGAAAACAGAGAGAGACACCAAAAGTAATTTTTAGAGTGCCACATTAGCAAAAATCCTAGGTGTCATTTTATAAAACTTCTTCCAAAAAAAAAAACTTGGTAAAATTATAAATGAGTCCTCAAATTTCTTATAAAATAATTAAAACAAACCCTCACAATTTAAAATATAAATCATGAATTCGGATAAAAATATCAAGAGAAAAAAAGAAAATATAATTATTAAGTCAAATGGGATAAGAACTCTTCTATTATATGAGAGAAAAAAAAATGGGGGGAATAAAAATCTTATTCTAATACTTTTTTTATAAAATTAAATAGAGAATAAATATGACACTTTTGCTTCCTTCTCTTAAGTTTGCACAGCCATAAATTATTATAGTCAATGAATTTGAATTCAATGATTTTGTAAAAATCAATCGATAATAACTACTTGATCAATTGAATTAAATGTAAAAGATTATTCCCTCACCTAAGAAAACAAAAAAAATTATAAAACACATTTTAAAATTTTAAATTATTAAATTTTGAGCATAATCAGCAACAATCATGGAAAAATTTATCATCAATTCATATTTACCCTAATAAATAATAATTTAAAATTCAAAAAAATTAAAAAAAAATCCACTAAACTAACATGTATATATACTGAGCAGTGGTATTGCATTTGTACTGTGGGTTTTTTCCCCTTCCGAAGCTAACAGCAACAGCACAAAATGGATGGCAGCCATAGTAAAGATTCTTTTAATTTTTAAATTTTTTTTCTCTATTTTCTTAATGTGTGATTTCATTGAGGTCACATTGGTTTTATAGATTCCATCTGTTTAGAATTTTAAAATCAACTAGATGCTTGGCCCGGGCGAATGCTCGGGTGCCGCCTGTATTTTTAAATCGATTAAATAAAAAATACGAATCATTCTTAAAAGAATAAAAAAATAGAAGAATAAAAAATTGATTGAAAGGACAGAAAGTGAGTTATTATACATAAATCTATGCCCAGATTTATAACATTTAATTTACAACAGTTAACTTATGCCCGGGTTTACATAAATCATAAACCAATATCTACAACAGAAGAATAAAAAAAAAATCATCCTTCAAAAATCAAATTTCTTTCATGACAGCTTATTTTGTCTCTGTTGTAGAAAGAGATGGATTGATAATTGATGTTAGATTTTAAGTAATTGATTTAAAGGCCCGGGTGTGAGAGAGGAGCGGAATGGGGATTGGAAAGACATTATTGTGTTTCACTTAATTTAAAGGGATTTCCTTACATTTGATTTTATTAATTAAATATTATTATTTTAAAAGATTAGTATATAACTATAATTAAGAGATTTTGATGTAGCTATAATTAAGGGATTTATGTATTTATCTATTCCATCTTTTTTTCTGATTAGTTAGAGTGTCACTTGTCAAAAATGATTTTGTACTGAAAATGGCTTTTGGCGGGAAAATTTTCATTGTAGTGCTGACACATGTTTTTTTTGTTTGCTACTTTAATTAAGTACTATAGATTCTCTGATTAACCAAATAAAAAAAAATCAACTTTTTGAATCTCAACATCAACATGTACGTTCAATTTCGAAATTGGACGAAATTTATGTTTGATAGATTGAATTTTTTTTTTCTATTATCAGTTTTGTTATTGTTGTTCTCTTTTGGGTATCGAAACACGTCAATTTATTTGCGAGAATGGGAGTCAATAATTTTGAAGGAATGCTATCGTTTAAGGTTCGGATTGTTTTATTTTCTTTTTCTTTTTTTTTTAACTCTAAAACTTCTTTTTTCTTCTGAATAAGGGCCTTCCAAGTTGCTATTTTTGCCGCAAAATCCTCATCATTCGAGACAAAGTTTTAAGTTCTGGAGGCAGCAACCACCCTACTCTAATACAAATGTACCATTTATTCTACTACTTTTGTGTAAAAACGAGTAGAGAAATGCTTGACAAAATGTATATCTAAATAAGTATATCTAATTTTTGTAGAACAATTAATTTATTATTACAAACCAATCACTTTATTTATATTTATCATATTTAAAAATTTTAATTTTTTTTCTTATGTGTATATGAATAAACCCCACACATCATGCGGGTTTAACATCTAGTTAATTTTTTTTAAGGCATATAAAATATGTGTCGTAACTGTCGTTGAAGTAGATCACATAATCAAAGACTAAACAATGATGTGCCATATAGTTTACGAGCTTGAAATTTCGCATCTGAAACTAGCGGACAACTTTTTCCCTTCAAAAATCCTACTCTTTGTGATGACATGTTTGTGTGATATATGTAACATCACAAACACCATCGACGCTGTTATGAAAACTGCAATCAACAAACGTACTCATCAGAAGAGTATTCTATTGATAGAACATTGCAAACCATAAAATTCTATCATCTAAAAAAATTATTTAAATAATCTGTTAAATGACTAAAATTCGAAACTAATTTGTGAGAATTTCACTTATTAAACTGCGAAAAAGCAAATATGATTAGAAAAGATTATTTTTTCATATGGTAAAAAAATGGAGGAAGAATTATTTTATTGGAGTCGGGTAAATGTAAACCTTTTACTAGTTCTTAGCTTATTCTTTAATCCTTCCATCTTCACACAATAAAACTGGTCAAAGGAGAAGGAAGAAAAAACTATAATTATATTCGTGCCGCAGACTTAAGTCGAGCAATTTGAGAGGCGACAGGAATTGAACAAGTTATTGAAGCCAACTGCCAGGAAAAAACATCACAGATAGCGCCACTGGTAATTACAATTCACATATATATTTTTTAGTAGCGATATGTATAAGGAAAAAATGACAAGGAAAAATGACAAAAAATGATGTGTCAAGATCTTAATTATGCCTTAATCTTAAGTGCATAAACCATGTTTGGAAAGTTTTAACAATGGACGGATGAGATCATTTCCTTGTAATTTTTCTTTGTCATCAGTAAATATAAACGGTTAACCAAAAGTCGGTAAAACTGATTTGATGATACTTGTACATCGACTTCTATGTTGATTCTCTCTTTTCTTCCAATCTTTACAACCATTTTTAACTCCCGCCCACCCTTTTTAGTTTTTACCTTTTGCCTCATGTTTACTCTCTCAGAGCAAAGAACCACCGAACTGTTCATTTTTCTGTAATTTTGTGTGTTTTAATATAGGATTTAATTCAAAATCCAAGAAAAAACGGGGGGCTGTTTGGGATGATTAATGTATCCTAGCTGTCTATTAATTACTACTTTGATTTGGACCATTTGAGATTCTCTGTCTTTAGGTACGTATGATTCCACAATTACTATCACTAATAGCTACACTGTTCGATGGAATCTTTTCTATCTCGTATCAATTTGTCTATATATTATAAAGGGATAGAATCAGAATTAAATTTTGAAAATATCCCAACTCTATTATATATATGGATTCGAGGTTTCCTTATAACTAGCCATTTTAATTCATGCACCATTTGTTAAACAAATATCTCCTATCATTTGGATTTTGATAATTTCTACCATATTCCTCCTATTGGAGGGGTTTTGGTTTGGTTCTTGTTTCTAATTTTCGCCTTTGTTTTCTGGAGTATCAATTTATTCATTCACCATATCAACCAGTTTAACAATGGAGTCTTTGCTCATTGGATCATCCCTGGCAAAGCCTTCGTTTTTACCCAAAATTAATCCTGCCGGCTCCGTTGGTTTGTGTTCTTCTTCTTCTTCTTCTTCTTCAGGTAAGCCATTCTTTTTTTGCTTATTTTTCTTTCATATTTACAGACTACATATTTGCTTCAATGGTTTGTTTGTTTTTTATTATTTCCTTTTCTCAACCAATCTGTACTTTTGTTCCGCATGTTCAAAACTAAGCTATAGTTTGTTTGTCCCTTTTTTGTTTTCATTTGACAAATTAAGTATAGATTGTCATTTTTTTGAGAAGAAGATGAGATCCTTATTATCAGAGAAAACCTTATAGTCGGGATATATTTTTTTTCATGTTTTTGCCAAATTAAATCTCTCCAAATACTCCTCCTAATTTGTACCTTATAATTAAGACCAGAGAGCATCTATTCCAACTAGAAATTCACATGACTTACACTTCGAGTCTTCGTATGATGTTTAGTACTTTTGCACATTTACATACAGATGAGATAACTAAATGTTATCAACGTTTTAGTTTTCATATTTAATTAAACTGTAGGAGTGCATTTGTCTACGGACGAAAAACTCAAGGATCAGTTAATTGTCTCAAAGAGGAAGCTCTGGAGGTACCAGAATGTTAGAACAAATAATAATGAAAAATTTGTCACTCAAGCTCGCAAGGGAAGTGACAACCATTTGGTGAATGCAATTCTCTCACAGCCTTTTGATGAATCGCAATGTCTTTCAAACACCCTTTTGGAATCGCTTCAAGGGCAAATAGAGCTCTTCTTTCGGTTTTCGCGACTCTATGCATTCATCGGAACAGTAAGCACATATACATTTCCCAAGTTTGGACTCGCATGATTTTCTCTTTCCCAGATTTAATCCAGTTTAAGATTTCAGTTTTAGCGAAATGAAAAATGAAATCTCAAAATATGTTAAAGATACCTAGCCATGTAACAAACATGCCCTTAAAAAAATAACTAATTTTGCTCCCCATATATCTTTCAACAGGGATTGAGCATAATTTCGATTTCTGCTATGGTAGCTAAGTCGATCTCAGATATTTCTCCAGCTTTCCTAATTGGGATGTCTCAGGTTCGATTCCACACTTGAAACTACATGTTACATTTTTAGCTCTTAACTCTTTGTAGATTATCCCGTATTTGAGGAGCTGAAGACTGTTTAATTTTCAGGCATTTGGGGCTGCCTTCTTCATGCACATATACATGAACGGCTTGAATCAACTTTCCGACATAGAAATTGACAAGGTAAACATGCACCTCTAATGTTTGACTAGGTCGTGTTCAAACAACGGAATTATCATTCACGGGACATATTTCTTCATCAAATTAACAATAGAACTATTATATATCTCCTCGGTCCTGCAATGATTGTTCAATCTAATTAAAAATTTAAAGTGGACAATTACATCAGTACATAAACTACAGGATTTTTAAGATTTTCAGGATTAACGCTAAAATGCTACCTCAGTACCCTTTTTTTTGGATCGGTTTTCCTCACCTTTGTCTGGCTGCTTCGGTTGCATGCATGTTTTCAGGTTAACAAGCCTTATCTTCCATTGGTATCGGGAGAATATTCAATCAATACTGGCTTTGCTATTACTTTATGCTCCGTATTAATGGTATTTTCTCAATTCTCACCTTACTATTTTCACTGCCTAACTTAGATTTGAATTAGTTGAGACAGCGGTTTCATGGTACACCCGAATGTAGTATTTGATAATTCTCTTTTGTTTCTTGTTACAGAGTTTTTTGATAGTATGGATTGGAGGCTCTTGGACATTGCTATGCGGTCTTCTTTCCGTTTTCATTTCTGGGACTGTATATTCAATCAATGTGAGTGGCTTTAACACAAAAACATGTAGGAGTACTTTATTTTCCTGGAACCAATTTATAAGACACAAATTTAAATAAAAAAAATTTTAATTTTTGGGGTAGGCCGCCTCAATAGTGTGGTTGCGCGAGTGAATTGTTTGTATATCACTATCAGGCAATGCAAACCTCGTTCTTTTAATCATTAGACAAACTTGAGGCTTTTTAGTTTTGTTCTCAAAGCATACGTGCAGTGGAATTTTCTAAATAACTACTTTGGTATAACTTCTTAAGTTCTTCTGTTTGGTTAATAACAATATAAAGGTACCCTTTTTGAGATGGAAGAACTCTGCATTTCTGGCTGCACTCTGTATCTTCTCCATGCGAGTGCCTCCGTATATAGCATTTTATCTACACATGCAGGTATTCTCTAACCCTTTATTAATTTGTTAAAATATCATCTGTTTAGACAATTTATAATTCATTTAATTTGACATACGTAAATATCTAATGTATAAAGTTGATTATTTTCATTATAGTCCTCCTAAGCTCAATCCACATTCTTGATGTCAAGTTTACGCCTATAAAATTTACCTAGTATAATAAACGTGACTCTTTATGTTTTTCTTTTTCTTCGGACCGAATGGAATATTGTTATTCTCATCACTTGGTCCGTACGTAATTTAGCTTTGTATTATTACAGACTTTTGTGCTTCAAAGGCCGGCTCTCATTTCTAAGCCTTTAATACTAGGATCACTGTTCTTGTCCCTCTTTTCGGTTGTAGTTGCGTTTTCTAAGGTACGGCCTCTTTTGACATATGTATTCATCGTTGCTATCTATTTCAAATACTGATTTGTATGTATGTTTGAGTTTCTTTTGGATAATAGTAAAGAAAGCTTTTGATTTTGGTAGGATATTCCTGATGTGGAAGGAGACGAGTTACATGGTGTTCAATCTTTTGCAGTCCAATTCGGCAAGAAAAAGGTAATTAAGGAACAATTTGAAACTAAGGACGTTTGAAATTTTCATTATGAGACATCTTCAATGCTTTGTTTTCTTTTAATAATTCCAATTTTGACTACCCTTTGTAGGCGTTTTGGATTTGCATAGCACTTCTGCAAATAGCTTATCTTATTGCTATTTCAATCGGATTGACATCTTCTCAAGACTGGAGTAAACTGATAATGGTGAGATTCTCTTCCTTCATTTGTTATATGGAACAAGGGTGGACAAAATTGTGTAATTCTAATATATATATATATATATATATATATATATATATATATTCGGCAAGTTCTTCTTTTGCAAAAGAATTTTGTCCCGTTCTTATTTAATTTATGGATCAATTATTTTTTAAGACATATTTAACAAAATGGGACAAATGAAATACTCTCTCTGTCCCAAAATTAATGTACAGTTTGAGAATTTACTTTTAGTACAATTTAAACTAAAAATGAAAATCCAAACTGGACAATACTTATGGAACGGAAGGAGTAGTATTTATTGGTGACTAATGAGTCTGAAAGATAGAGGAACTTGGAGATATAAGGAAAATGATTTACCAATTAGTCAATTGTAGATGATAATTTAGAAGTATCGTTCTTTTAATTCGGTATTGTAAAAGAGATAAATTTTGCTAATAAACTTGAAATATAATAATGTCACGCGAGTTGAAAAAATTAATAATAACGCGTTCTAATTACACCTTACAAAGGTACACCAGGAAGTGGATTCGAAATAAAGCTTTCTTAATCAACAAGCTAGCTTACCATCCATTAACTCCAAACACATCTGCTAATGTGCAGGTTGCTGGTCATACGATTTTGGCTTTGATAGTTTGGAGTCATTCCAAAACCATTGATTTAGGAAGCAAAGCATCAACATCATCATTTTACCAGTTCATTTGGAAGGTAGTTTCTCTTATTTTTACTTTTTTCCTTTTACCAATCAAATGCTCCGGGGAAAAAATCAAAGAGAATATTGTTTTGAATTCATGATTATTACAACTCGCACGAAAATGATTTTTTTTTTCTTTTTTATTATTCGTGATTTGCAGCTTCTTTATGTTGAATCTTTCCTCATACCTTTGCTGAGGTAGCAAGAAGAAGTTAACAAAGTTATGGCAGCTTTTATTCATTCGATCTGTATGATATCAATATGTACGTTTAGATCCTTCTTTTAGTATATGTATTTTTTTTTTTTTTTGGTATTTAGTCTTGATAATAATAGTAGAATTCATTCATCCAAAATTACTGAGGCTTGCTTTTTCTTATCTCCTTACTTTTAATGGAATGGAAGTCATCTTTCTTATTAGTAGTTTTCTCCCTTATTTGAATTGGAATACATCAACAAATTAAAACGAGACTATAAACTCTACAAGTCTTACGAATATTACATTATTTTGTTCCGTCTTAAAATAAGTGTGTTATCATTTATTTGTACAAACAAATTATATAGTCTATAAAATTGCATAATTTTTACTTTTTTGTTTTTTTTTTACTTAAAATTGTTTGGTTTGATTTAATATTTGTGAATGCGATGTATTATTTCCATTCTAGAATGAAAATGTTACAATCATTTTGATCGAGAAAGAATAGGCATAATGGAAATTGTGAAGCTATTTCAATTTCCAATTTTTCTGCATGGTTTCTATTTCAATTTTCTGTATTTTTTTCATTGCATTTCAGACATTTAAATTGTTTTGCTTTTTTTTTTTCTTTTACATTTTCTAGTGAAAAGTAATTGAAACCTGGGTTAAGTTTGGTACGTATATCCATTTGTTGGGAGATCTGTTTGGACTTTGGTGGACTTAGTAGGTCGGTCTTGACCCAGTTCGATACCAAATTTCTGTCTTACATTGTTATTGGGGTGGCCTTGGCCTTTATCAAGTTTAGTCCTAATTTTAATCTTGGGATTTCGCCATATAATTAATTTTACTATTGTTGATGACGAACACTCTACAATAAAAAAAATAAAAAATAAAAAAACATGCAACAACATTGCACTAAATAGTACCATGATGTAGTAACTTGATTATTGTTACATTCACATGCATGGAGTAAGAATAGTAAGAATAACCATTTAACTAAATAAATATAGTACAACCAATGGCGGAACCAACTAGTAAATGTTGGGGGTCAACTAAACACTAAACTAGACAATTGATAGAAGAGAGAAAAACTAAACACCAACTTGTAAATGTTGGGGGTTCAACCAACTGTTCAATCGGTGGGTTGAATGAAAAAAATGGACAAGGGAAATGTAGAAAAGTGAAGTTGGGCTGTCCGTAATAACCCAATTGCTTTTAATAAAGAATGGGCTAAAAGAAATGAAAATTGAATACTTAACATATAATGGTAGGTAATCCATCAAGAAATGCATTGGTCAAAAAAAAATGTGATAAAGGTGGACCTCGAATCCAAACCCCTATGTTACGGATAGAATGTAAACAAATATAACCATTAATTATTGAAAAATTACAAAAAGTCACTTGAAGATCAAACTGCAATCAAGACCAACCTAAACCTTAATAAGAGGGATGGATCAAGCCATGATATGTTTTTACTACTTAAGGTGATCCAAATTGCGAGGTAGACGTCAACCAACCTAGCAATATGTTTAAGCCGAGCAAGAACAGGGGAAGAAACATAGTGCATGACAAGAGCGCCTGCCCTGGCCCCGTGAAAAATTACTATTTCAATTTCGACCATTTTATATTATAAGTTATAACAATCCTTTTTTTGGCTTGAAGAAGAGTTTATACTTTTTCGGTCCCAAAAAAATAGTCCACTTTGAGTTTGAGATTTGTACTAAAAATAATACAAATCTCAAAACTCAAAGTGGACTATTTTTTTGGAACGGAGGTAGTATTAATTTTCCAACTTTACATTTGGTTCTAGAAGGAAAAAAGTAAAAACATTTCTATGCTCCTCGTGCAGTCACTTGTAAATGGCAGCAAATTCGGTTTACCAAAACTTTTTATTTGCAGTTATTTTGACTTGCACCTTCTTTATATTGAATCTCTCATCACACCTCTCATGAGGTAGCAAGAAGAACAAATTTAATTATTGAAGCAATGGCTACTATTCTTCCTTTATTTGACTTCTTTAACTCCCCTTCTCTTTCTTTCTTTTTTTTTTCTCCTTTTTGTTATATTTATTATTAATGCAAAAAAGAAGTCCAAGCTTTGTAACTGGTGAAGAACATTCTTGATTGCCGACAGTAGTTTGAATTCATAGTTTGGAAACCGTACTACACATCCGTACAACAAATGTAGGTTTCCTCTCTTTTTCCTTTTTTGTATTTTGTTGAAAGCTATAATTTGTTTGCTGCTCTTTCTCATTTGAAAGAGGTGCAAACTAGCAATGACTGAAAATGGTGATACAAAAAATCCATATCTGGTCTTTTTATTTTATTTTTTTTATTATTTTTTCCCCAATCTGTTCATGTTACTACCTTTTGTGAACTTTCCGTCTCATTTTTATAGTATACTAGGTTAAATTACTTTAGTGCAATAAATATAATTACTCTCTGTTTTCAAAAAAAAAAAAGTTAGTGATAAATTTTGAAATTTGTATGATAATGTACAGTATAAATTAAATGTAATTTTTTTTTCTGAAACGGAGAGAGTATTATTAAAATGGAACGGATGGACTATTTTATTCCAACCAGTTTCTCACATTTTCAAGGAAATATCTGAAATCGAACACCCAAAGAAAATTAGGAAAGTAGTCGTTAGTCATCAGTTGAATAAAATTTGGGAGAAGGTAATGATGGTATTGGTGGGCTCCGTTTAAGTATTGACTTGACTCATTGGAGTTTCCTCAATTGAGTCTTACGTTTCTCATTGGTTGGGCTGGCCCAGTCCATGAATAGTTGGACTAGTATTAATAATTTGGACCAATAGTTTTTAACGTTGTTCATTCCGCTCCTACTACGAAAAAGGCTGCCTAAGATATTTACAGTTAATTTGACCTTTTTTTATATGGATTCTTCTAATTAATTTCCGAAGTCACAACGTTTTCAAAGGGGTATAAAAATCAATGTAAATGTACTTGTAGATAATCTGCAAAAGATCTTCAACCCGTGTTTTGTTCTTCCTTTTATGTTAATATATACTCGAAAAAATAATTTATTTTATTAAAGAGGCGTGTTAAAGGTCGCCAGGAAAAAGATAAAGACCATCGTAAAAAAAAAATTCTACCATTTTTATTTGGATATAGACCGCATGGTAAAAGATATAGACCAGCGTAAAAAATAATTAGACTTGTAGAATTTCATAGCGAAATAAACCGAGCCGACAGAAATACCGTCTGGAATAGGCCGGGACGACGGTTGTGCCGTCCCGGCTTAGCCTAGACGGCATTTCTGCCGGTTTCTAGGACTAGGGACGGCAGGGCCGCCGGCCATTAGGGCTGGCAACTATGGCAGCCATGTTAGTCATGGCCGCCGCCCACAGCGTCCAAATCAGCATGGGACGCCGAGGCTGCCGTCCATTGTGGTGCAAGCCGGTATCCATACTGGCTCGCTTATCCCGGGCCAGTGTGTGCCTCGGCCTGGGTATTTTTATTATTATTATTATTTATTTTAATTTCAGTTTTATTGATTTATTTAGTTAATTTATCATGTTTTATTAATTATCGCATCATAATTAAATTGAATAGGATTCATTTGAGTTATTTATTCATTTAAATCTATTATTTTATGCCATTTTAAGTTTGTTTTTTTATTAAGAGTAATTAGGTATTCTATTAATAAGTTATTTAGAGTATATGTTTAGAATTTGCAGGGATACAGCTGAAAATGATGATCATAGTGTTTCTTTTGACACTAATGAGATATTACAATCAGAGGATGATGATATTTAGCGCGCACAAGAGATTGCATAACTGCTCGCACTCCCTTTTTCCTCCATCTCCTCTTTCACATTCCGATCCGAGGCCAGGACACTTCGCGAACGCACATGCCGCGCACCCGATCCTTTGTTGATCACTATTATTTACACAACTAAATAATAACACTAATACTAATTATTTTATTCAACAATATTTAATTCACTAATAAATTATATGACTCTAATCTTGCCCATTGGCACCTCTAAAGGACTTGTTATGGTAAACCCACTCATGAACCCCCAAATTCGTACCCGAGCTTGTCACCCCGGGCTTGCCTAGGGTAGTTTACCTCCCATTGTAGTTTGCAGGCTATTGCAGTGGGCGTGGGTTTACTCATCTCTTGTGGAGTTCCAGGCGTTACCCAAAAAAAATAATAATAATTTCATTAATTAGTAAACAATATTCAAATTATTAACAAATAAAAAAAATACATTAAACTAAATACTAATTAATAGTAATTAAAAGAACTAAATAAAGTAAATACTAAATAGTAATTAATAGTAATTAAAAATATATTAATAGTATAATTAATATTAATCAACTTAATAGTAATCATATAACTAATTATATTAATCATAAAATTACTAATAATGTAAATAAATTAAACTAATTAAACTCATTAAAAACTAAATTAAACTAATTAAATTAAAAGAACTAAATAAAGTAAAAGAATTAAATTACACTAATTAAATTAAAAGAACTGAAAAAATAATTAAAAAAAGAAATAATTAAATTAATATTTAATCAAAAAAAAAAAGAAAAATGCCCGGCCAGGAAATAAGAAGACGACGACCGTGCAGTCTTCTTTATAAGTTGACGGCGACCTTGCCATCTACTTTTCCGATCGACGGCTACTGAGTCGTTGACTCTTCCCCTGGACGGCACCTGGGGCATCCAACTTCCCCGGGGACGTGGCCACCGGCGTCCGTTCCTTCCTGGACGACGACGCCGGTCGCAACACTTGACGGCATTTCTGCCGTCAAGTGTTGATTTGGACGGTGGCCATACCGTCCAAATCTGTGGTTGGCGGCACGTGTGGCGTCCCAATCCTTTCGGGACGGCACCTCCGTCGGCCGACCACATTTCGGCCATCACCGACGCCGGCCAACATTTTCCAGATTCGAAAAAAAAAAATTCAGATTCAAAAATTTAAAAATTCAATGATTTGAATATGTTTGGAAGATTTGAGTGTTTGAGTGTTTAAAGATTTGAAAATTAAGTGTTTGAGTATTTGAAGATTTGAAGGTTGAAAGGAGTTTTAAATTTTGAATTTGAAATTTTGAATCTAAGGGTAAAATTGAAAGTTAACAATTAGTCAATGGCGGACTATATCTTTTTCGTGGAGGTCTTTAAGCTTCCAGTTATTAAATCGATTAGTCTGCTTGTACTTTTTATCACCACTA